CGGGTTCGCGGGTTCACGCGTGTTCGCGTCAGGGCCGGGCCGTATACTGTTCATGAGTGTCCAGACGGACAAGCCGAACGATCCACTATTACCTACCTGCACAAAATTGCACAAATCAAACGGGGCTCCAGCATCCGCCCAGCGGGCCCATCGACTTGCAGCACAGCTTTTCAATGCCACCTCTGCAACAGCGTCGTCTCACTCGGCAATCTGCCCTGACTCTCAGGTGCTTGCCGAGCATGTGACGATGTTCGGCTTCGGGCCCTGCCTGCGCCAGGTCCAGGCATGTCATGACTTAGGCTGACTAGGGTCCGAGGACCTCGGATCAGCTGGCAGAATGAAATCCATGTGCCAGCTCAGCAGTCGGGTGCTTGTGTGAAGGAGCACTGCGAGTGATGCTGGCGATCATCATGCGGCCTCCGCATGTTGTCCACGAGGATGCTGGTCTCTTCCTTCGCCGGTTGTGCGAGGTGCAAAGGGGATGTCATTGCAGTTAGTGACTGGGCTATGACGTCCAGCATGTACAGTCTCTAAATCTCGTCAACTCGATGTTAAGGATTTCCAACTTTTTGTTCAGCAAGGTACTGTGCAATAGCCACAATAGGTTGGAGGGGACCTGCGACGCTGGGCGGGGGCGCAAACTGGCAGCCCACTTCCACTCAACGTAGTTACTTCGCACAGATTATCACATGCGAGCACACACAGACACACACGCACACACACACACACACACACACTCTACGAAAGTCTGCGAAGCATGTTGATGTGGAGCGTGGACTGCGGCAGTTTTGACACCCCAGCAGTCCCAGCAGCTTTGTCCGGCATAAGCGTTGACAACTGCAGTGTTCAGCGCCGTTGTAGGCTTGATCTGCCTGTATCTTCGAAAGCCGTCGAGCTGCTTGATGCCGCCAACATCCGATTGATCACACTATCACTTGCGCCTGCTGCGAGCCTGTTGGAGGAGCAATCCCGCATCTGTCGCGCGCCTTTGCACAGCAGAGCCTTTTCTGATCAGTTGCCAGGGAACTGAGCGAAGACGTGGGCGGTCGATGAGAACCGACCAAAGTCGAACGAGAAGAATTCAAGGTGCCGCTTGACGCTACGGCTGCGAGTCCGCTGAGAACTAGGCTTCGCTGTAGCCAACGAGTCTGCTGCAGTGGCGTAAGTGACCTCGGGGATGAGGATACGCAGACTGTGCAAGTCCAGGAAGTAAGTGGAAGCAAAAGGAGCTGCGGCGATCTTAGGCTTGCCCCTGTATCGTCTTGTCAAGTTACGGCGTCTGGCTGGAGATGTGCTTTCTTCGCCTGGCTCAGCTGCATTGTGGCCCGATGCTTGACCTCCAGAATCCTTCCTGCCTGCTGAAGCAGCTGCCAACTCTTGACCCACGACCTGAGCTTCTGTTGCTTCTCTTCTCCAGTGCTTCATCTACCATCGCAGACTCTAAGAAGTGCTCCTGCGCGCCGCGGCCAGTTGCAGGTTAAACTCGAAGATTTCGGGTGAGCTGCGGTGCGGGTTCCTGGCACCACGGACAACCCGAATACCACATACCACACGAGATACACGAGATACCACATCATGCACGAAAGAAGCCCAGCTCCCCCACTCGCCCTGATTCCTGGATGCTCGAGAGAGCTCAGAGCGCATGGACCCATGGCAGCTGCGAGGAAAGTCATATTCTCTCGAAGACCTCTTAGTGGTTTTTGGGGGCTCAGAGCTTGCCACGGCACCTCATGGCAAAAGCTGAGGTTGAGGGCTGAAGCCAGAAACAGCTATTTCTTGCTTCAGCACAGGCTGCACTCTTCTGAGAAAACCTCCTATTGCAGCGTGAAGCTGCAGAAACATCGAGCCAGGAGGGACATGTTCGGTGGTCCTCGCAACTTTCCCACCAGTCGTTGACTCTGGTACTGTATGTCATATGCCTACAGCCACTACAGTACCCGGTACAGAGTGGCAATGCGGAAAGAAGGCAGGTAACTCAAGCAGGGCGTGGTTCGAAGGACCTGTGATAAATGGCCCTTCTTCTTGAGCTTCTTTCCATCCTGCAGTGTTGTCTTTCAATCAGCGCTATCCGAAGCAGCACGTGGTAAGCCACAGACTTTCATTGTGGAATGGCTCATCATGCCGTAGGCGAACTCGTCTTCATTTTTGAAATACGCCTGCCGGCCGCACGGAAATGCGACATAATGCGACACTAAACAGTGAGGCGAGCTCTGCTGACGTAGAACAGCCGAAGTAATTGCGACTTCTGACATCGGCCTTCCGATGCAAACCCTTGATGATGTCTTCCTTCTTGTGGAAGTCTTTGGCTCGCTTCACATAGTCCTGCAGAGGTGGCTTGCGGCCCCGGCTATGAAGCCCTGAACGTTTCGAAAGACAGCGCCTTGTGCTTCTCCAAATATCCCAATCTGCGCCGATGCTTGGGCTGGTGCCGCTCCTCACATCACCCACCCGAAAAGAAAAAAACGCCTCTTTACTGCCGTGTCCCTTTTCCAAAAGATGGTTGCCGAAGGTCATCAGTCTAAGGAGGGTGCCAGGTGAACTCGTTTGTGAACCACATGCCTGATTGGTAGCTTCGGAAAGGGGCACGAGGCCACAACGAAGCAGTGTTGCAAATCACGCCGCCTCAAGCTACCATCACCCATGGCTGACACCACGGCACGCGAGGATGCGAGGTTCAGGATCTGAGAAAAGCGATAACAAGACTCTCAAGTCTTGCACTGTCTTGTCCACTATATCTCGAGCTGCATGGGCCGTCACGAACCAAATCTGGACTCCAACGGTGCTGTTATTTCGTTGCAATCTCTGCACACGAATATGCGGTTAGGTGAAAGGTCGTCTCATCGTCTGATCCTCAAGCTGAGAGCCAACTGCTGGCTCCTTGAGCCCAGGCGCACATGAAATGACCCTCTGCAGGTCTGCCGTTCACTCCAAGCTCGAATCCACAAAGCATAAACCTGCTGTAACAACTCGACAACCACATCTTCCGTGCCGGGAGGCTCCTTCTCGGCTAAACACGAAACCTGCCCAAAGCCCATGCTTTCGCAGAAAACACGGGGCTCTCCGACTTGTAAGCTGAAGCCACTCTCAGAGTTCTCGCCGCGATGTGTCGGAGCAGAGCTTGATCTTCTTGCAAGCCTCGAGAAGCGCAGGGCTACAACGCTCCCTTCGTTGCACTCGGGTCTAGAGTCAACGAGAGATGCCTCCGACTGACGAAAGCAACAGCAAGTGAGAGGACCGCCAGGCCCACATCGAACTGTGACTAGGGTCGGCCGCAGCCCTACAGCTCGTCAAGCCCATTGCACGTTGCCACTCTGGGCAACTCTCCACTGGCACGCAGCGGGCAAGCAGAACCTTGCCACCTTTTTCCTCTTCGACGGCGTAGCAGTTGGCAAGCTGTTGACTGCGTCCTGTGCATGCTGCGCATTTGCAGCGGGGCATTTCCCTCGTTCAGCCGTCCCCTCGAAGTGCCTGCATGCTACAGCTGCTTCACATGCACAGTGTCCAAGTTGCAGAGCCCCGCCTATTGTCCGATTTCTTTTACGCGTGCTCGGCAAACGCAATGTCCGCGTGATGCCCACTATCTCGCAGCCTGAAGGGTCAGGTTTTAGTCCGAGGTTTTCATCTGGTTGCAGTAGTCTGGCAATCAAAGAGGAAACATGACACATCTGCCAAGCGCAGTGCCAATGCAAGCGTCGAGCTCTATTTGGAGATGCAATCCTGCCCGGGATACAAGTCAGTCCTGAAGCTACCTTGCTTGAACCGGAATCCTCCCAAAGCAGAGCAATCTGCTCGTCTGAAAGCTGGACGAAGTCACCCGGCCTGCAGATTCAGAGCAAACTTAGACTCTTAGACATTGACAGTCTGTGGTACAGGCGGAGCAGTCCTCTCAAGGCCGCACTTCTCCAAAGAGAGGCCAGCTACTTCAAGGCGATGCAGCCGGATGACCTGCACTGACACGGCACTGATATGCAAAGTCTTGGCAAAATGCGCTTGCAGGGAACTGGGACGGCTGCCGACTTCCCAACAGACATGAAAAGCCTCTTCACTACCTGAGCCACTCCGGCAAATTTCCCAGTCAGAACTGTCTGATGCAAGGTCACGTCGAGGGACTGGCGTGAAACTTGCCGGAGCTGATGCGCACGTCGGCACAGTATCGGAATTTGCGAATCTCCTCGCCTGTTCCAGAGCCAATATGTCGTCAAGCTCAGTGCAACAGCTTACCACAAAACTGACGCCCATCGCAGAGTAGCCAGAAGGGATGCAGGGGCAAGAAGTTAGCTGCCACTTTACCACCCCACCCCCCCAACCCCATCCGCCTGTGGGCAGTTGGATGCTGGGGAGCTCTTCAACCTCCTTCCTGCAAGAACAGAGAGCAGTTGGCGTGTCGCCAGCCTGATCTATCACTGAACGCTAAGATTGGAAGAACTGTCCGCTGCACCGTCTCGAAGTTGGCCCAGCCATCGCCACGCGACAGGCAGATGCCCTGCAGTTTTTCAAGCACTCTGCCAATTTCTTGGGCGTCTTTTTAGGCCTGGCCTGGCCTCCCGCAGCTGCTGGCACTGCTCATCGGTGAGCTCAGCGGAGCTCCTGTGTGCGCCCGCAGGCTTCGGGATTCCAAAAGTCTTGCCGGTCGTAACATGTCAATCTTTACGTGTCTCTGTCTATATCCGTATCCTCAATGGACGGTGAGCTTCAAGTTTAGCACGGAACCCGATCCTTCCATTGCTGCTTGTCCAGCCGTCATACCAAGCCCGATAGGTCTTTGACACATGACCTTGGCTTTCGCTTGCTCGAGCAAAACAGGATGGAGCCTTGAAGGAAGAAGGAGTTCAACAGCGCTCAATGCCAAGTGTCGACTCTTAACATGAAAACTCAGCCCGACCAGCAAGCTGTTTACTGCTGCTGTGTTACACTTCCCACTGAAGGCCCGACTGTTTAGATGGCAAGTAAGGCGACCGTCGGTCGTGAAGATCATAAGCCCAGTCGTGCACCTTCAGCAGCCGTAAAACAGGCACGGCAAGGAACATAGAATCACAGACCTAATCATATCCTGTGAGCCCGTCCTAATCACTCGTTCGAAGGTTCAGATCCTGCTTGGATACACCCAACCCTGCCTGTCAAGCTGCCCAACTGGCTTGGGGGGCCTCGTAGGACACATCCTGCTCTCGCTTCCAGTTCCCACAACGAAAAATTTGAAGCGGCTGCACTTTCTGCTGACCTCCTCGCAATATCTCCCATGCCTCCCTTGGTCATGTCTGTGATCATTGGCCTGTCGAAATTCCATGATCTTCGTTCCTATGCGCACTACAGCAGTGTCTTTTTCACACGTAGCGGGGCATAGTGCCTGGGTTTGTAGAGCGCAAAGGCTACAATGCTCTCCGATTCGTCCTTGTCTCCTGCATCGTCTGGAAATATGCAGCCCTTTTCAAGATTCGATGCGACACAAGCATCATGCTGTGCCTGTGCCTTGTGCTTCGGGCTCTCCGGAATCCAGTTCTCGCTTCACCCCGCGAGACGAGCCGGCGGCCATTGCGAACAGGCTCCAGATACATGTTACGTGGGTTGAAGAGAGACTGCAATCCGAGAGAGGTTGTCATATACTCGGCAAGCTGCAGCCTGCAAGATGAAGTGGTTGTTGGCCAAAGATGTTCACACTACATCAACGCTGTGCTGTGCCGCATCGGGCAGTGGTGCGTGTTTGATGGCTCTCGCAACAGCTGCTGGGCGAACACTTCTTTCAGATGTTGCACCAGTAACAATATGTAAGCCGAAAACTTATATCTGAGCTCTCGCAAGAGGCAACCCCTGCATTCACTCGGGCCGCTAGGGTTCCAACTCCATCAATGACCTCTCCGCGCTGAGAGGTATCGTCAGCCTCGAAATGCGAGGCAGATGATACTGGCATTCACAAGTGGTCGCGCAGCTGTTGGCTGGCAAACCTATTTCACCTATGCCCATGCACACGCACAGCTACGAATGCGGCACAGTCTGACGAAAACAAAAGCGTTCAAATACTGGGCCTGTCCCTATTGGGCTCAGTGGTCTGGAGAGGCCTTGTGGCTGTTCGATTGTTCAGCATTTTGCAATGCACACGCACGCAAGAACACGCTTGCACATCTGCACACACGCACACAAAACGCACGACTGCAACATCATGCGGAAGCCTCCAGCAATACGGTACAGCGCAAAGGCTAGCATTGCTTCTGGCATCTTCTGGCCTTGGACTTCTTGCTTTTGAGGTGCTTCAAGAAAACGTCCTGGCTTGGGCCAACATCTCGACAGTGGCAGCGGATGAGAGCTGCGCTGTCCTTGATCTCATCATCATAGGGTCGGATAATGTTATCGCAAAGCTCCTCCGAGCGAGATTGAAGGACGAGCACCCAGTGCGCGGGTATCTCAGCCCAAATCCTTCATGGCATGGGACTGCCATCTCGCAGCATGGTCCGTCCGGTTGGTGGAAGCAGACACCTCGACAACCAAACTGACAGCACGCAAGAATGGCGGAACACGTCGTCGTAAAAATGCACCCCTCAGGAAAAAGCTGGCATGTAAGCTCTCGTCCTGCTCTTCGAAACAAAGACACGTTTGTCAGTGGCAAGTTTGACACAGCAGCTTGAGGCATAGACTGCGACCAACTTCCAGCCGGCGTCGACCTCCCGGTTGATGGTTTCACCCCTATGCCCACATGCCCTACCCTACACCCCTACACCAAGGCCAAGGGCAAGAACCTCGAGCAGCTCGTGCTTTTCAAAGAGAGCCTCGGCCTGAGCTGCGACATGACCTTAACTTAACACAGCACCTGGCTTCCAGAGGAAATACGAGCTGCTTCCGCCCCCGGATTCACTGTTGATGTCACAAGCTGTCAAGGCGGTCGAGTGCGGGAAGAGCCGCTGGTTTAGAGGATGACTAATGATTATTAATGATTAAAGTCGACGGCCTGTAGTTCGGGTACACGGCCTCGTTTGTATTCTGATTTGATACTATGCATTTGTGTGTGTGTATATATATATATATGTATACATGCATGAATGAGACTACCGGGTGTCCGGTGATAGGTTTGCCTGTGATGTGAGTTTACGATCCGTAACATCTTCATGCATAGGCCGCGCACGTCGCAAATCTTCTCGATGTGATCGTACACATCGTCCTGCAGAGAAATGGCCCAGCTGCAGTCCAAACAATACAGGCGCACCGCCCTACACGGCCATCTCGAACCCTTCAAGGCCGAGCTGCACGAAGCTCCAGGATTCAAGCACACTCCATGACACTTCCAACTCATCCAACTCCCCATCTCACGCCACCTCCGTGAAGCTGAGGCCGACCTCCAAGTCACGGCGCTGACTTTTCGAGACGGTCGGCAGGTTCCTGGGTGCTGCCGGGAGACAGATTCCAGGGTGTGCGCCACCGTTAGTCTGCAGAGATCACATCCTTGGCCGGGCTTTGCTCTGTCAGAGGCCCTGTGTTGCACAGTTGCAAATGTAGCTTGCATCTGTTGCAACAGCCCCGCCGGATGCACAATGGCTGTCGTCATTCAGCATCCGCTAATCTATGAAATGCATTGGCACTACGCAGCACTCGCTCACGAATGCGTCGAGGAGTCGAATGAATTTCTGCGCCTCTCGGGCGGACGCTCCATGAATGCATGCCATGCTGCCCCTCTGACATTGTAGAGTGACAGCGCCTTCTGATACTTGTTCTTGACTTCGAAATCCTTCTCCACGTTGAATTCCTGAAGGCAGGCAGTCGAAGGAATCAGCTCACATCAATACATGACACTGTCTGCATCTCACATGCAATTATTGCGAAGGCACTTCCCAAATTATCAGTAACTAAACCCGATGCCGTGTCGCAAGAGGCTGTCCAACAGCTGTCTGTGACTATGACCATGCGCGAACAGGCAAGAGCGCCAGCAAGCAGGCCTCAGGCATGCGGATTGTGCCGAAGGCCTCGATGCCCAATCTTTCATTTGCAGGCTGGCTGGCAATTACTTAGACGAAGTACTCGAACTACGTCAGCGTGCGCGTCGACAAAGGCTTCAAATCCAATGCCAGGCCTGGACAGCCAGGAGTCCGATGCCAATCACGCCCTGAGGCGCTTGCACTTGCTTTCGTTTCAATCGACTGCAGCTTGAGGGTTGAAGTTTGAGGCGAGCACTCGGCAAGAGCATGGCTTCAACATGACTCCGCCCATGGCAGCTGCAGGCACGGACAGTAAGGTCGATTGATGTGGGCTGATTTTTGGCGAAGCCTTCTGGGCTGACGGAGTTCGGAAGCTGAAAGCCTTGCGCTGTTCAAGCCCCGAAAGAATGTGCTACTCGTACTGGAAAGACTCTTCCGGAGAGGATGGCATACAAACATTGAAATCATTGAGTATGTCTTTAAGCTTTGCTGACACTTTGGGCAAAGCTCTTGCCCACGCGGCTTGAACCAATCGGAATCCGGCGGGATGCTGTTGCATGACAATGCATAACATGAACCTGGATCTCCCGGCGAGTCCTACGCACCAGAGGTCGGCTGGGAGTGAGTAGGCCCGGAGACGCCGCAGGCGGCAACATGAGGACACTCAAGAGCTCGGATTTCCAAGGCGGCAAGGCAGGTCGACCACGCGACAGCACCTGCTAACATGCCAGACTCAGTAGACCCAAGTTAGGCAGCTTCGGGCCCAGCATCACGAAGATTATGCAGGTGTCGTTTCTCCAACACTCGACTCTTCTAGGTGCCCCGATGACAAAAAGAGCGTGCAGGGATGTGTGCGCTGAAGCGGTCGCGCGCAGGATTGGAACAAGCGCGGCCCGGGCTCGGGCTGGGACAGCGCCGAGGAACTAGCAAGCAAGTCGACGCCAAAGGAATTTCTAAGAACAGCATGCACGCTGACAAAGCATCGGACGCAACCGGTTGAAGCAACTCTTTCTGACACTCTCCTGCCAGAATTTCCGAGTGCGGGTTCGCACGTGCCAGGAAGTGCCACGGTAAACCATTTGTCTTGTCTTCTCGTAGGATGTGAAACAAACAGTGGCGCTTCCTTGGCCTATTGCTCGGTGAACCCTGCTGTATTGCTGGCGCTGCCGACTTGCCGAGGCTACAGCGATCCAGCAGGTGTAAACACCAAGGTACTCCGAGCCCAGTGAGACATCTTTGCGAAAACGAATCTGGGACTGTGCCTGTTGCTCTCTTGCAGATCTTTTGACGGGGCATGAGGCTGTGCTAACGCTGCGAAACACCTCTTACTGTCTAACAAGCTGACGCCCTCTCATTTGCCACGCTGCTTCGCGGCATCAGGAGAGGCTTCAGGCCTTGCAAATAATCTACACCTTTGACGCCGTTGACTGAAAAGCAACTTGGCCCTGCCCTGCTGAGACCCACCTCAAGGGAAGTTTTGAAGCGCGTGAATGCGGTTGTCATCGCCTGCGGGGTGATGAGTCGAGACACTGGCTGGGCCACATCCTGCTGCAGTGCTTGGAGAGTCCAATTGCTACATCTTCTGCATACCGCACCTGCGTCTTAAGGACATAATCGTTGTTCGGCGCAGCCTGCGCACCGAGAGGCGCTTTCATCCCTTCCCTGTAGGCTCCGCTTGTAACTTGGCCACGGCAGCGGGTGCTCCCATCGTGCACTCGCCTGCTCCAGCTTGGCGAAGTACTGCTGGAATTCGTCCTGAGGCGGTTGGCTGCTGGATGCTCTTGTCCTTCGTGACATTGTCGCTGCGTGCCTTCTTCCCCAAGTGAGTCATGCAGCAGCACATGTTGACCTGGCCCAGACCAGTCGCATTCACTGCGGGCGAGACAAGAGACAAGCTTTGCACGATCCACCAGCACATCTGGATCGTTTGGCGCTGCTGCCAGAGCTCTCTGCAGGTCCTGAGCAGTTCCAGATGACCGCACATGCCTGCACGGACGCACGTGCCGGGTCTTTCGAGTCTCCTCCACTGCCTCGGAGAACATGCCGCGCTGCATGTTGGCCAGTGCCTGCAAGGGTCTGTGCAGCACTGGGCAACTCGCTGTCGAGTTTCTGGTTTCCGGCAGGCCGAAAGAAGACCGGAACCCCGAAATCAGCCCAGGGAGCAGTTGGGGAAGAACGAGACAAGGAGGCCACAGCAAGGTCCCAAGGAAGCACAGTTAAGAAAAGAAGCGGTAGCATGCCCTGGCCATGATGAGTGTATGAGTGTGGAAGCACCGCAAACACTTCAGCACGCTCCCACAATCGGCTGACCAACAAAAATAGGCCTTGCCGGTCTGGAGCAGCACAGACCCAGAACCCGAGTCCTTGGCTACGAAGCGTTGTTCAGCTCGTGCCGTCTTCCCGTTTTTGTCATGCAACTTCATGCAACAACGTGGGGATTGGAGGAGGCTAGCAGCTAGCATACCTGTTCTGAGGTTGAACAGCACTCTGATGTTATGGGAGCACGGGCAACAGACACACAAACTTCGAGGCCGCAGCATCGCCCTCCACAGCAGGGAATTGGGAGCAGAGGTCGCAGTACGTCAGGTACCTCTTGTCTCTATACTTGAATCACAAGCGTAGCAGAGGGTGCCGGGCGCACGCTTCCTCTGGGTCTCCTGTTGCCAGTTTCACTGCCGCAGCTGCGAGCCTGAATGCGGCCTGGGGGAGAGAACATGGAAAAGTAGCCGGGCTGCTTCACAGCATTGAGAGCCCTCCAAGTGCTGTGCGGAATCGTCGTTGTTTCCAGATGCATCCTCGCACATGTCGATGTTCTGTGCACATGCGCAAGTTGCGTGAAGCGTTGTATCAGGAATCAGATGTCCTTCAACAGCTTCTCAGCCATTGCTACCTGGTTGCAGCTGAGGGCCAGGAGAATGGTCAGCACCTGTCATAGGCTCTCCAAGCCAAGTTATTCAGCTATTCATCGGAAAGCCGACCACACACTGTCGGTGCTTGCGCACGCACCCATCATGTCGCCAGTCTCAGAAGCAGCCAGGTCTCTCCAACAGTGTCCCCACCCTGGGCAATGGCCTGCATTTCCAGCACCGGGTGTGCCTGATTGCGGCAAGCCAACATGAGTTGACACGTCTGCCATGCACAGGGTGCCTTTGTCATCTGCGCTGCTTCATTCCAACTACCTTGCACATCCCATCTTGTGAGACGACACACTCAACATGTCTTGACAATACAGACGCCAACTCGGTGACGAGCCATCCATGGCCAGGACCATGGCATTGAGCATTGCACAGCTCATGTCCTTGCAAAGCTCCACGCTCTCAGCTGCATTCTAGCAGTTCTAGCAGCTACACTCGGTGCCCTTCCACATTTATTCCGGCCTGCGTCTCCTTCGCAAGGGCTGCTAACCGCTCCTTCGAAATCCACGGAACAGAGAAAACTTCTCGAACATTGCAGGCAGTTGACGACTTCTTTGCAGCCTTGCCTTGGCTGATTTGACCTGAGCCTCATTCCTGGACTTGGTGATGACAGCCAGCAAGGCCGCCTTAATTCGGCTCTCATAAAAAATGGCAATGGCGTGCTTTTAGTAACACCTCAAGGAATCGCCGGCCAAGCAGCAGCGCGCTGACCGGGAATCTCGGAGTTTTGCATGGCCTGCGCTATAACCGGCCCTGACATTGCTAGGTTGCTGGCATGTGCGACTTTGTTCACCCCGTCCTTCAGTCTCTCGATCTGTGGGATGGCCAGGCAACAGCGAGCGAGAGTAGCACCAAGCCTTTCATGTTGCGGACTCGAGCTAACATTTGCAGGCCAAACGCCCGGCTCAAGCGAGCTCCATGGATTCCCTGCTGTAAACCCGCCACTGGGCTTCAGGTTAAGACATGCCCTGAGTCCCTCAGTCCCTCCCTGGCTGAGGCCCAGGCTCGCTCTGTGTCAGCTCGCTGGAGCCATGTGCAGACTCGCAGAGCTGCATGGCCTCACAAGAGTTGCGCTCCCACTCCTCTCGCTCTCGACTCTAAGAGTGTAAAAGGTGATTGAAGACCAGAGCCTTGACGAAGTTGCCTACATAGAAGTTGTCTCGCACCTGCAACTCGGACTCCCCGCAGCTGCGGAGCCCTGCTCAAAAAGCCTGAAATCGTGTTGCCTCCTGGAGCTCCTCCTCCATGGTGGCACCTGAGCGCTTCGTTAACAAAGACTCCGCTTCAGGAGACTTCGAGTGCTTTGCAGGGCTGAGGACCCTGCGATGCTCGGCACGGCTCAAGCGGCTTGGAGGTGAGGATACTCAGAACCCCCTTCAATGGACTGCGGCACGAAGGCTTGCAGGTTTGCGGTTTGCAATATGCACAGAACAACTGCAGCAGCAGCATCCCGACAAGCGCAAGCCACGCGAAGACAGCCGCTGGCCAGTTTTCTCCGGTGCGCTCCGAGCCGTTCTCCCGCACAGCGACACGCCGAGGCGCCACGCTGCTTGCGGCGACACTGAGCTTGTAGGCTCGGGACTTGCGCCAGCTTGGAAGCTGCATTGGAAGCAACCGTTTGCCGCTAACGAGCAGTCGAAGCAGGGGACTTCTTCTGGGAAGCCATTTTCTTGCAGATGTACAGATAGTGCATTTTGCTCGTCTCATTCGGGGGCAACTCCACCACCTGCACCTGCCGCTGCTCTCGGAGCAGCTTGGCACTAAATCGCAGACCGAAGCTATCAACAGCAAATAGAGTTCATTCCAACACCAAAAACCACGCGCCGGCCTCGAAGCCCAGAAGCGACGGTGTCAAGAACTCCTGGGCTGAGGAGTCCGGAACCACGCGGCAGCACTCAACAGCTTTGGTGGCGAAGACCCGCTGAATCGAGGCTCTCTGTTTCTCGTCTTTGCATCGAAGACTCTAAACGTGTGTCAGGAGCACCATACGAAATGACCAGCAACCTTCCGCCTGTCCGCAGAACTCGCGACACCTGTGGCCGCAGCGCTGCATCTCGGCGTGCTCAAATGATTAAATCTTCGACTTCCTCCACCTTCTATGTTGTCCAACGTCTCGGATTTCCATCCTCCGAACTTCAAGCCTTTGAACCTTCAACCCCTCAAACCTTCCTGATCCAACACCCTCACTCGGGACAGCTTCTTCGTCGAGCGACGGCAATCACCGAAATATCAGATTTGCAGGTACTATTCCCAATGTCCCAATACCTCACAAAGAACTCCGAAGCTCAAGTACCACACCGTAGTCTACCCAAGTTGTATCGGGTTGATTCTGCGGGCATGCCCTGCCTGCAGCAAGTAGAGCATGATGTTTTCAGCCTGAGATCTGCTCTCCGAGTGCAGTCAGCAGACCAAGCGGTTTCTGCTTCTTACGGAGCTCCTCGGTGGATGTGCGTTTAACGCGAAACTTGTACCATCGAGTCTCCCGCAGACTCTGCTTCACTCCAGCATCTGACCCAGACTGGGCCCAAGGCATCAGAGCAAGCGAAGGTGTCAATGAGGCTCTTGTCAAGAACTAAATCGAAGGCGTTGTCGGGAAGCGACAAATCCTTATCAGTTGTGCGACTGAAGACATGGCCGTATCGATCTCTTTGATTAAAGACTCAACCGACGTTTGCGTGTCTACGGATGCCATCAGCCGGAACAGTGGCAAAAGCTTGATGCCACAGCAGGACTCGAATTTGTTGTCCGTCCATCCAGTCAAGTTTCCAAGGCGTCCATCTGCAGCCACAGCATTCGTGGCCTGAGCCAGACCACGTTGGCTTCAAGCAAAAGCCGGAGCTGCGGATCGCTCCAACGAATCATGGCCTCTTCATATTTCGGGCCATCATCTGCGATATGACAACTTCAGAGTTGTCAACATTGATGATGTTTTGATAGCCATCATCATACCTCGATCAGGACATCAACGCAATCCGGGTCTCTTCTGGAAACAGCCCGCATCTGACCCGCGGTGTGCAGCAAAGATGCATGTCTTCCGGCAGGAGACTGTTTCCACATCCCAAGTGGAGGACATCTTGGTTCTACGCCCCATGGTTTCACATCATGTCATTACGTCATGGCAGGGGTGTTGAATGAAGCAGGTGCCGCCAAGCGGCCTGCAGAGGTGTTGTGATCGGTCGCCTCCCGGATCCAGCTCTTCAGGTCAGTGTAGCCGCGGAGCCACTCGAAAGGCTCCGGATCCGCTTTGTAGCGCATGTCCCAGTACTCCTAAGGAAGGAATTGGAGAGACATTGAGGGAAGGCCCATGCTTGCAGCAGTTGTCTGTTCCGCGTCACACAGACAGATTCGACCAGAGTGCCTAGCCTAGCGTCTGGTCCATCGCCATACGGCACGGTACTGGTAGCCCTCAGTGTAAACATGTAGTCAAGCGGCAACACACCAGACAGTCAAGGATTCCTGCGAAACTCTGAATGCTGGTACAAGCTGCGACTCATCCTCGCCGCCACCTTCGCAAGTCTTCAGACAGGAGACCAACTCCGCAGTTCCAGGCTTTGGTCACAGCGGTCCCATCTGAGAATCAGGCTGTCTGACGGCATATCCTTCCTCGTCCTCGGGCATCAATGCACGACAAGGCATCCAGCTCAGCTTATATGCTGCGACAACAACCGACACTCGCTACACCGGCTACACCCCGTCCTTTGCTACATGGTCAGTCTGGACACAACCAGCAAGGGAAGTGTTGGCCAGATGCCATGACAGAGAACAGGAACTCCGCTCCCCTGCTGTGATGTGATTAGGAGTCTCGGTTTACAGGTGAAGCCACTAGCAGATCGCCACCATGCTTGGGTATGACGTCAATGCGCTGTTGCTCGCGGTCATTGGGCCAACATCCAACTTCCTGAAATCATGTCACTAGAAGCTTTCTTCATTGCTCCAAGCTCAGATGCACCGTACCAGGCAGGGCACAGCTTTTTGCCTCATGTCCACGGCACTGGAAGCTGGCGGAGTTGCGAAGATCTTTGCTTCGATGCATGCTTCAAGGCAAGTACCACCAGCATCTCTTCGACGCAAAGCCACGCAAATCTGTCAAGGAATCATGATTGAATCAGCCTCATCATCCCGGTGCGTATCCTCGCTGGACGGCGCGATGGACGACTCGGCACACCTCCCCGTCGCGCAGAAGTACCGCACGTACCAGAAGATTGCCTTAGAAAGAAAACGGCCTCTCCTTCCCTAATTGAAGGAAGCGTCCAAGGCAGAGTCGAGTGGCCCAAGCAGAGCCTATGAAGGACCCGAAGCAGATGTCAGCTGGGTGGTGGTCATTCTCTCGAACGCGCGAGGAAGCAATCCAGAACGCCAGCATAACGGGGCTGAGTGCCACGAGCAGGGCCACATTCGTGCAGTCCTGTACGCCTGAAGACGCAGTGTGCCAGATGCGGTACTGTATAGGTTGCACAACTTGCAAGCACGCGTGCATTCCAAGCCTAGGCATGTCTTCATCTTCATCGGCTGCGCAGCTACCTGACAATCACTTGTTGCTGCGGGAGATGGGTTGACTACTGCTCACCCGTGGTCCAGTCCGAACAGGTCGACTTCCAAGCCTTCCGTAGGAGGAAGAGAGAGGTGAACAGCATGGAAGAAAACGACCTCGCATGACTCGAGGTCACTGTTGCCCACTCTCGAGAATGTGGACAGCAACAACTAAACCAACTAAGCCTGGTGCAGGCTGGCGTGGCCAGATGGGAAGGATTTATGAGCTTGAGCGGTGCCTGCAGGAAGCGTGCACGCACGCGTCACGGGGTCAAAGCCGCACTCGTCATAAAAGTAGGGCCGCCAGTAGCCAATGTAGTTTTTGAGCAAGTCAGTCAGAAAAACCGTGCAGGCCACGGTCAGCATGAAGCCCCTCCTGAAGCTGCACTTGCCAATCCCAGACGGGAATATCCAAACTCATGTTCAAAGAGGCAGCCGTGGCGCAAAAACGAGGCGGCTTCTCCAGGCTTTGGTGCCCAATACGTCACGGCTCCAAGCACCCCTTGCACGGCAGGCGCTGGCTACTCATGACTCATGATCAGAGACGGTCCCTACCTAGCTTCTGAACACATGAATCCTTGATGCTCATGTCTGCTGCCCAGCTGCCAAGCGGCACCAGCAGGCACAACGCAACCAGAAGCGCTGTTGGACATATCTGCTGATGGGAGGGGATGTATGGGTTGTCCAAGCTGAGCTCTTTTAGCACCACAGAGGTGCCATTGCCTTGGAGGATGCACAAGCTTCAGTTGCAAGGGGCTCATTACAAGAGAGCCGAGGCGCTGAGAGTCACAACCTGCATTGGAATGGGCCGGTCATGCGGATGTAGCAGCGGCAGCTCAAGCAGCAAGCAAGAGAGGGTGAAGACGCCGATGAGAAGCGTGTCACGCCCGAAAATCACGCGGTTTTCCAGCGGCATGTTCAAACGATCGAGCCACCCAAAGACGCTAACAGGACGTTTGAAGTCCAACTGGATGCAAATGCTCCAACACTGCGAATGTATGACTTCGGACATCCAGATCTCGCTGTCGTTTGTCGAAGCTTACGCGAGCCTTGAGATCTCTGTATTCCAAATGGCTTCCAGAAGTAAGGCCTACACACTGCGTTGAGCCCATCGTGTGGGTCCTGGGATCGTGGTTTGCTATGTGGTGCTGGCACATAGAAATCTTGAGCTGAAATCAAGGAAAAACTCGAAAATTAGCTCAACAAACAATTCCGTGCGGTATGAGTGCTGCGAGTACAGTACTAGTAGCACAGATGATGCAGAGGTTGCACACTCCAACCCTGCAGGGAGGTGCAGCTGTTCAGGAGAACTCGAGAGTCGGGGCGTTGCCGTGAATAACTACTACTCTCATGATCTCTATCTGTGCGATTCTTGACCTCAGTCACTGCCAGACGGTTCGTGCAAACTTAGGTGGGCCAGGACCAGGACTTTGCTAGAATGGACCTTTGCCCAGTTCATGAACGCATTCCGCAAGGGTTCCAGACACCTCTTTTGCTGCAAGGGGCATCGTCAAGACCTTCGGGTTTCCAGGCTGGGCGTGAGCTCCAGCCCGGCCGGCCCGGCCCCTGGCTGGAGCTCCAAGCCGCGTTCTCTTACACAGCTTCCTTTGGCTGAGGCTTTTTTCTCTTCGCAGGCGCCTGATGGCCAAAGGCGGCAAAGCGCGCAGCGAAGGTCAGTGCTGCGTCCCATTGGCTTCGCCCACTTCGCCATCTTCTGCACAGTTGTGAGGAATGTTGCGCAAGACCCGGAAGGAGCACACAAAAGCACAGAATGCAACTAGGGAAATCAAGAGACAAAGGAGAGAAAACTCCTTGTCGCGCATTACATGGGCTAAGCATGGGCCCGTTCCAAGACCCAGGGCGACGGCCATTTCAGATGCTGTGACTGCTTGGCCATAGCCGAGCGACTCACCTTTGGCTAGGTCTGCCATCATCGACATGGATGTGGGGTCTGCTGCTCCATTGACTGCGCTGCAAGTCATCAGAATGAGAAGAATGGGCAGCAGGCTGTTGCCGTCCACAAAACCTATGGCGGCAATGCACAGTGCCATAAGACACAGTATCGCAGGGCAGGATAGCAGCACCGCCTCGCGATTCTTGGCCGAGCTTGCAAAGCGTCCAGACCATTGGGAGAACAGGGATTGCATTAATCCCGCAGGGATCGCAGTAAGTCCGATTGCAGTTGGCGAAAAGGCTCTTCGATGCATCTCAAGTGCGCTGGCAGTGATGGCAGCACTGGAACAGCCGAAGAGACAAGCTAGCTCCAAGGCCAGAATCCATGCTCGCAGCCCCACCGAGACATAAACTCCAAGAGCCTTCGAAAAGAAAGCACTGGGCGTTCCTGCTGACTTCACCTTGCCATGCCTATCGGAATCCTGAAGGAGTGGCTGAGTCGATTGAGACAGCGGAGGGACTGCACTAAGCATCCAGAAGGCCAGTGCCAGAAGAAGCAGCGGATGCACCAAAGCCCAAAACCGCTGCTGTCCTTCAGCCGCCAGGTCGTAGACTGCTCCCATCGCTGGTGGTCCGATCATGTTTCCAAGGGTGCCTCAAAGACACAGAGCCCAGTGCGCCGCCCCGCTTGCCCTATGCGGAACCCCAGCAAATTGGAGCAAACAGTGATAGAAAGTTTTGCTGAACTGGTCAGCGCGACCCAAGCCCACCGCGGAGCCCAGGTGCCGCGACCGTGATGGCTCGCTGAATCGCTCCATAATGAGGGCCATGCACGCATTGAAGAAGCCCTCGGAAAACAAGATGTCCAAAAGCTGGCTACAAGAAGCACTTGAGCGCCGGACAGAGAAAGCGCCGCCAAGCGTTGCACGCGAGACGAGCTGGCACCAGAAGCTCGGGCAGGCTGCCCCCAGGAGCACTCCAGCCTCGCATGCTGCGAGTTTCTATGGAACCGGTCCCATTCCTCTTGCCTTCCGAACATCGCTTCCGAACGTCCGAGGCGCCATCGATGCCAGGAGCGCCCTTCGCAGAATGGGCAGAGGCCCGCAGCTGTCGATCGCCAAGCCGGTTGGCACCAGCACAAAGAAGCCTCCGCGAAAGGAAATTGCAAGCGAGCACAGGGGTGAAGGTCACGGCCAAGAAGCCGCCGAAGTATTGCGCCGACAGGAGAACGCCCACCTCGCTTTCCAACCCCCCCGCCGCGGCTCAGAGGACCGACTCAGACCTCTGGGGCCCTGGCCTCAGCCCTGGAAACCAAGAAAGGTGCGATCGGCACATAGCCATTTTCCTGAGAGACACTGTGCACTTATATTGGCAAGCCTGAAGCTAGCAGCACAACTTCCAGAACTTCTGTGTTAATTCATGTTGATTCACACTCCGGAAGACGTGCCACGAGACAAAGAACGCACCGAATGCAGCAAAGTCGCGATGTAGCAACAGGCAAATATTGCGAATCTGGAAAGTCTCACGACGGCTTCGCTACCATGATGGGTTTCAGCTGCCATGTTCGGCAGCAGAGGCGCGACTGAATATGACTGAATGGTTACGGAGATGAGTTCTGAGTGAATGTCGGCGTGTAAGTAGAGCTGTGAGTGAGTGAATGAGCGAGTGAGCGAGCGAGCGAGCGAGTGAGTGAACGTGTGTACTTGGGCCTGCGCACGTGGGGGCTGGTGAGTGGATATGTAAGTCTGTCTGCCTGCCCACCTGCCAGATCGTGTCTCTCTGTCAGGTGTTCGCCGTCTGTTCGTCAGTGCTCCTTGTATGCATGTACGTATTTGACTGCGTGTGGGTATCTGTATGTGTGTGCTTAGTATCTACGTGTGTGTCTTGGCATGATTCGGCACGTGCACGTTTACTCGTTTACACATGCTTGCAGTACATGCAGAAGCTTGAGACAAGATGTGCGTACCCAGGGCCATCGTCTGCGAGTTGGCATCTTGCTTGAGGAGTCAGCCTGCAGACTGGATAGCGCAGCCCCCGGCTTGGCAGCTGCCTGTTTCTTGGGACGCGTTCCTTCCTGAAGTCTAAGTCTGTGCTGTCTTCTGTACACCTGACAACAGAATCCCACAACTCGGCACGGCATTGCAGACGCATGGGTTTACATGGCCATGCCGCTGCGAATTGTAGTGGCTGCCTCGACGGATGCCGAGAGAGTCGAAGGCTCGATCATGGTCCATACACAGAACGGCCCACCTCCAGCAAAAGCTTTACACGGGTACAAGTAGGCACCAAGCACACGATGGCACTAGGGCGTGGCATGGGAGCCTCTGCCCGTGCCCTACCTAACAAAAGATTCCACATCAAATCGCTTCGCGATATACAGTGGCAGCGCATGGTGGTGCCGTGTACAGCCTCCAGCGGATGGGACGGGAAAATTAGCTCAAGCACCTAACGGGGTAGACGCTGCTCCACTTCGCCGGCAAATGTGCTGGCAGAGCGGGCCATTGCAATCAACAGCAGCAGGACTGTGATCCTGAAAAACAGTGAAGTAAAGCCGTCGAAGCCGTCGCCCCACAAGCCTCGGAATGCAAAAAAAGACCTCCGTCAGAATCCAGAACAACACTCCTTCGGGTCGCAGACCACTTTCTTGAATTACTCTTTCGGGGGTACTGTTCGAGTCTCTGTTCTGTTACGTCGTTGTCTCCCTGTGCCTTGCTTGGGGTCAGAGTCAGAGGCAGTCCCCCTGACCCTCTCCCTGTCTCTTTTTTGAGTTGGCACATCCGCTGCTCGGAAGTTCTGCCCAAGGCGTCTTCATCCAGAAAGTCAAGCTCTTTTAGCAAAGAGACCAACGCAGTCCGGGCTCTCTGAGCATTTCTCGGCGGACTGCGACTGAGGCGGTCTGGAGGAATACTGCGGTTGCCTGGAGCACGGAAAGCATTGTCTACATCGCTGCTTCTTGCATCTTCCTGCGACGGCCCGTCCTTGTCAAGTTTGGGTTCGACTCCCAGCTCTGGCTCTCATCATCTGACGGCACGTCATCGACACCGCACCAGGGCATGAAGCAGCTCGCCAGGCTTGTTGGGCTTCGACTCTCTCGCCTCCTTGGCTGCCCGACCCTGTACTACAGAACATGTAGCCACGCAGGCCACGCAAGCAAGCTTAATTCCAGGCAGATAACGAGCGGATCGATGACGCGGACGGATTTCGATCGAAATCTTCGGGTGGGCTGGTCTTCTGAAAGACCGTCAGCTGAAGGTTTGACAGCGGCACACTCTGTGTCCAGCCTGAGGATAGAAAGTGCTCAGGCTCAGGGTGCCAGGGACGAAGGAGGCTTGCTCAGTCGTAGCAAGTGGCTGTCTGCATTGCACCAAGCCAGCCAGAGCAGGCTGTCAACTTCCAGAGCGCCGCTTTGGCCAGACACGACGCCTCGTCACAGCTTGGATGAGTTGAGTTCACATTATTATGAGTGAGTGCATGCTTACTCGCTCAAGATACTGAGAGACTACAATGCAGGTGTGAGCAGTCGCTTTTGAACGGTAGGCGCTTTCCAATCTTCGTGCCAATCCAACCCCACGCGAGGCGCCTGAAACCGGCTGGGCTTCACAAACGTCTCGCATTTCCAGACCTGAGGACAGAAGACCAGCTAATCGAAGAATTCATCACTGGTCTAAAATGACAGCAGACAAAGCCTGCAGCGCCGTGCTGGGAATCTTCAGCCGACGTTTCAATCACAATCGCCTGACATGCTTGAGCTGCACCACAGAGAGTCACCTGCGAATCTACACCACGAGAGCACTCAGATACGAGGTGCCCGAAAGTGGAGAGAGCTTTTCGTGACGGAAAAGCTCCAGCTGGCCACGCTGCCAGCAGGAAGCCGCTGGCATTTGTAGTGGGCAAAGCCGGGAGCCAAGGTCAAGTTGCTTTCATGTCCTTCATCACGTGGCAATCAGCGCATCTACGATGGAAGCTGCAGCACTGAAGCATTGAAAGAGTGAGCACCCAAACCCAAACCGGGCCGGGCTTGTCAATTCAAGGCTCGATTCTGCACCACATCTGCCAGGTTTGCCAGGGACTCCAGCACTCCAACGCCGGCCATCTTGACCAACTCCAGAGGAAAGTCCATTGGCCCTGAAGGGATGAATCGGAACTTCCTCACAGGATCGACATTGTCCACGCTACAGGTTTCGCACTGGGCAAAGGACCTCCTTCTTCAGAACCCTGCTCAAATGCGGATGTTTGCACTTTGCCCAGGAAGCTGAGGCTCTTCCGGATCCGATCATTGAGCATCGGCTGCACCGCAGTCCAAAACAGATTGAAGCCTCGCAACGCTTCATGGAGCATGCTTTTGAGTGCAGACGGCCGCGTGCTTCCTCTTGGCAGACTCACCCTAGCCCGCCTGCAGGTGGATTGACTATAACCATTTGGTGCAACGTTTCTGGATACGCTGTGCTCACAATCTTGAACACATCTCCAAGACCTGAGCGCAGATAACTTGTCGCAAAACCACGCTGATTGTTGTCTGCGCGACGAGTGATAATCTGATGGCAATGGACTGAAGATTCGTATTCGTGCTGCGAAGCCGTATATGTGAAGGACTTTGTTCGGAGAGACTGTTCGCTAGCGCTGCGGCCACAAGGAAAGCAGCGACAGTGTTTGCGGGGGCACCATGACTCAGCCCGCGCATCAGGGTTGAGCAAGCCTGGTCGTCCAACATAGAGCAACCCTCTACTTGGCACACACCTGGCGCTGCAAGTGTCACCTCAACTAATCAGTTTGTGTTGTTGTCTAGCCGCACAGACTGCATCGAATTGGTGGCGCCGAGCAATTTTCCGATATGCTGAGGGTGGGCCTCAAAAACCAACGAAGCGCAACATGGTAGTGATACCAGCAGTAGTAGTGTTAGCACGAGCGGCGTCAGTAGTAGTAGTAGTAGTCGTCGTCGTCGACGACGTCGTCGTAGTCGTATTCCTAGTCGTAGTCGTAGTGGTAGTAGCAGTAGTAGCAGTAGTCGCAGCAATAGTCGCAGCAGTAGTAGTAGTAGTCGTCGTCGTCGTGGTGGTAGTAGTAGTAGTAGTAGTAGTAGTAGGCGACCCCCCATACCAACTACACTTGCTCTAAACCATCTTGAGAGCACATCCATTTTACTCGGTATTTACAGCACTTTCGTCATGTACGATTATCATAAGAAGCCTCACAATCGACTTGCCGAGTTTGCAAACTCGGCCTTTTGATGTTGGACTTGCTTCTGGGGGGGTCGGGGGGGTTGGATGATGACGACAGCTTTACGCAAACACAACCAACAATATCATCACAAGAGCCGTTTTACTCGGTATTTACAGTACTTTCGTGATGTCGTACTTTCTTATATAGTTGCCACCCCTACTTCTGGACTGTGCGCCTTAATCTTTGGTGTCTCGAACGGCTTGCAGCGAAAAGTCGAAATTGGGTGCAGAAAGCTTTTCCTCGCTGTTTACAGTACTCTCGCAAACAACCCCGCTTTTACTCGGTATTTACAGTACTCTTGGTGATGTTGTTGATGAAAGGTGATGAAATATGCTTGATTTTCGTGATGTTGGTGATGAAATGTGTTTGCTTTTTGGTGATGTAGGTGATGAAATGTGTTTGCTTTTTCGTGAGCATACAACCCCCAGTACTTTTGGTCATGTTGGTGATGAAAGGTGATCAAATGTGCTTGATTTTTCGTATGTGATTGTTTTTCGGGATGTTGGTGGTGATGATGTTGATGACAATGACGAAGTGTAGTTGGTAGAGGCGGGGGGGGTGGCTAGTAGTAGTGGTAGTAGTAGTCGTCGTCGTCGTAGGAGTTATTCGTCGTAGTAGTAGTAGTAGTAGTCGTAGTCGTCGTCGTCGTCGTAGTAGCAGTAACTATAGTGAATTGTTGCAATTGGTATGAGTATAAGTATAACTCTTGCAATCATTGTTATTAACACCCAGCTGCTCTGAACCGCTTCAGAGCGATGGTGTCCAGTTTCAGTGCGCGCACCAACGATGCTGCCAAGACGCGCTTCATCACGAATCTGCTTCGGAGAACCGCGCCGATGTTTAGCCCTGTCAGGTCTCGAACCTGGAAGCTCTTCATCAGCTTGCCTTTCTTTATGCTGAGCTGATCCAGGTGATGCTCCCGCAGTTCACCTGAGCTCTGTCCTTGTCGCCTTTCCATGTGCTGCAGAATGCATGCATTGCACTGCATGGGTTCGATCGGGTGGCAGAGAAGGCTCATGCGACCGACGAGATCCTCATCAGTGAGGCTCATGATTTTCTCAATTTGGGCAAAACCATCTCTTTGTACCCAAAGCCTCGGTTTCACCACACAAAGGTCCGACAAGATCGAGCAACGTCGCGGCTGGAAATCCTGACTGCTTGCGGCCAGGTTGCATGTTTCCATCTTTGGTAAACTTGCTAGCATCGATGCACATCATGTCAAAAAGCTCCCGGGCACCCGTCACAGAATCTACGCACCAGGGCTTGTTCTCGATTTGTGTCCGCTTCTGAAGCATATTCGCCTGGCAGGCAGCTTGGCCATTGACTCCGAATGGATTAAGACCAGTGTGCCCACTTCCAGCCTCCTTGTACCAGCACAGCATCTTCCGGAAGTGTGCCGTGGCCTCCTCCACCGAGCCATTGTTTCCCTGAATATACCTGATGCTCACATCGTTAATTGCAGACGTGGCCCCCTCTTTAATTTTTGTTTGAAGGATGGGGCGCTGCCTGCTCAACCTCGCTGGGTTGAAAAGATGCTCGCCTTTCGCGCCCAGCTCGCGCCGCTCGACCTGCACAGGTGCGCTCAGCGACCATGAGCGAAGCCTGCTGAGACGCTCGTTGCCCTTCTTTGCCGCTCTTTGAGCCGCTCCTGCAGCTCCTCCAAAAGCTGCGTCCGCGCTGCGAGCAGCTCCTGGCCACCAAGATCCTCGTTCGACATGGCGAGAGTCGCCGGGTCCACACGCTCTCGGTCTCGTCGCTGTATTTCTTGTGAACTGCGAAAAAACTTAGGATCCCAAGCAGGTTTACTCACGGAACTACTCGGAGTGTAAGCTGAGCTTGTTTTGCCGGCTTATGAAACTCTAAGGAGCAAACGCTCAGCCGCTCGGATCACCAGCTGACGATTGGCTTTGGTATGCAGCTTCGACCAACGTTCAAGGCTTTCGATGCATTCCCATGGGCAGCAGGAAGTGTGAGACATGGCGGAAGCGTTCGGCGATTTTCCACGAATTTCAAAGTTCTTGCAAGTCAGTTCTTTTGGGGCGCTCCGTATTACAGTGCACCTCTGGAGGACAAGATCTCGTTGCTCTGGCTCTCACTGCATCAGGCTCTGCTCGGGCTTAGGCTCCTTGAAGAGGTCGTCGACATAAATGAGACCCTCCTCGACAGGGGACTCGTCCTACATTGGAGGCAGTCCTCCTGCAGATGATAGGATGGAAAGTTTCGAAGCAAAACACGTTGCTGCAAGACGATGCGACGATGCATGGACACAGGCACGTCACTACAAGACGATGCATGTTTCATCCTGCAGGTAGGACAGAGGGAGCTCAGTTGACTTACGACCAAGGGACGTGCCTTCCACATGCGTCTCCACAGTGCCGGCCGGTTTGTCAGCCACTGCCACGTCCGTTTCGGCAAGCAGCTCTGGCTTGGGCTTCTCGTCCTTGTCCTTTTGGGCCGCAGCTACCGCAGCATAGAGGCTTCGCTTGTAGGCATCACGGCCCTCTTTGTCAATGCTGGCGGCCGAGCCCATGGCAACAGCAGGTCGAGCCAGAATAGAGGGGCTTGAGCCACAACGTCGAAAGTGGGACAGCACTACTACATTGAGAAGCCTCCTCTGTCTGGCACGGTCCAGCAAATCCTACTACACCGATCAAGTACAAGATTCCGCGAGTGGCTCCGCACTGGACGTGCATTCCATGGCCCACGTGTCCAAGGCTGGCAGTATCCCTAGCACATGTACCGCAAGCAGACTTTTGTGGCGAACTTCTCACTGGAACCTTGTTGAGCAGATTGGAAACAGTGCAGTTGTCTTGTGGAAGAAAACCTCGTGTGCCAGCTCTAAAATTATCTGAATCTGCTCGACTTGCTGGTACCGGCTGTCAGTCGCAACGAGGCCACGCCCACAGTGGCCGAACCATCTGCACAAACTCCGCCGAGAGCACAATGGGCATTATCTCTCAGTAAGGGCTGCGGTGAACGTAAGCCGCGATCGGTACTACTGATACAGCAACTCCTGCTACTGGTAATACTGCTGCCGCTGCTACCACCACCACCGATGAAGATGCCGACGACTACAAGTGATACTACTTCTTTTACTGATAGTACTGGTTCACACAGTGGAAGAAACTGGTTCTGTCCTCTCACAGGCGAATTAAGATGCACCTTGTGTCATGAACCGAATTATACTTACAAGTGCACACGCATGTTGCACACCACAACTCCATGCAAAGCACTTCGACAGTAGTCTGTGCCACTGCGCCGGGCAAGACCATCAAAGCCTCTAGGCCTGCATAGAATCAGGGCTGTCTCTGCCAGTTCCACCAGATGCTGCTGAGGTGTTCTTGTATCCATTATCTTGCTGTGCGCAAATAGCACCCTGTCAGCCGTTCGGCATCCAAAAAACGAACTAAGGTGCCAAACGAGAGGCAAAGTCTTGGTGACAGCCCAACTTGGGACCATGCAACGATCGTTGAAGTACGTGGGTACAGGGTTCTTTGCCTCTGATCTGGACTCTGGGCTTGAGCCCACAACTATGGTCAGCACTTAGCTATCTCATGTGGCTCTTTTCAGAGGCCATGAGAACAGTATATCTTGGCCGCTGTGCTGGGTACACCTGCAGAGAGCTTCAAACAGCTTCTGGGAGCTGACGTCCATCGCCCCAGCTGTTTAATATCCCCACGATCTGGGGATGCCACAGAATTCATTTCTTGGCCCTGGCATCAGTCTCATGGAATGGCATAACGATCCAGGGTTAGTCCTAGTCCTACTCATGACGTTCCGCCCCACCTCTTCTTCAGGTGCTTCACGATCTTGCCCGTCACTGGGTCAATGAAGCCGTGGGCATCAATAGTGCATCCGCACCTGGGACACATCGTCATTTGCCGCACATAGGGCCTCCACGAGTTGCCTGTAAGATCTCAGGCGCTGGCGTGTAACTGTCTGTAAGAATCGCCAGACACCTCTCACATGACGAAAGCCCTTGAAAGCCAGCAGCCAAGCCCCAACTCCATCGAGTCTACTCTAATCTTGGGGCCGTGCTTGAAGCAGAACTTAGTTCCACAGTTCCGGCAGCCTCAAGTAGCTTCCGGCACACAGCAAAAATGCTGCCCATGGTTACTTATTTTAATTGCTTGTGGAGGACGGGCCTCATCAATCTGAGGGAACTGCTCATCTTGTGACATTCGGAGTACTGTGTTTTCTGCTTGTCAAGATTCTGTTTCGTGACCTGGCGAGGATGAGGGAGCCGTCTCTCTGCATGGAAAATGACTGCTGCCGCTATCATCCTTATCAATCTAGTCTATGCGCCTGTCTTCGCCAACAGCCACATGGGTCAGAAGTTGCTTCCGGGGAAGGGATGCACCGACTCTGATGAAGACAGTCAGATCCCTTTGGATCCCGTCGACTCATATATGAAGTCCAGACTGCAAGGCTCGACTAGCACGCTTCACGTTTGTTCGACAGAAAGGGATACCTACATGCAGCCAAGATTGCAATTGGAAATCCGTTGCTACTGGGGAGGGGAAAGGTGGCCTCCAGTCTGGGAATCTTATGGGAGACGCAGCTGTTTACTTCAAGTCAACACACCTTTGTCGCGTCTGCGTTGCTTCGAAGCTCGAACGCGAGCTTGATCAACAGGGCCAAAGCCCTCAGACTGATCCGTGAAGTTTGGTACGCAAGAGAGATCGCTTGCACTGGCAGAGTCAGCTCCTTGAGACGACAAAAACCGCCAGGCCAGGAAGGCGGCCATGCGGCATGTCGGGCACTGCTTTGAGCCCGTCTTCTCCATCCACTGCTCAAAGAGCTGGTCAGCCTCACAGACTCAGATCTTTTTCCTTCAGAATGCTCTGTCCAGATCAATTTCAAGGCCTGACGCTCCTTCTTGGCAGCCCGGGTTGAGTTTTTCAGCTTTTCGGCGTACTCCTCACATCATTCCATTGCGAGCTCGCTTGCTGCTTGAGACGCTGGTACGCTCGGCTAAAATCCTCGCACGTCATCCCTCTGTGGAACGGCTGTCGTCCACAGCGAAGGCCTGCCATGAAAGATCTGGAATGATCTGGAAACGGCGCATGTGCAGATTTGCTGGTCTGCCAGACCGACAGTGACGGCAACAAAGGTGCAGCCGGTACGCATGTGACTTGCGACTTTGGGACGTGAGAGATGTGGAGATGGTGCAGCACCAGCAGGGTAACTTACAGCCAAAGTCACATGACTCCTTCTTGCAGATGGTACACTTGAACCTGACAATTCATGTGAGCAAATTGCATTCATGCCATGAAACTGAATCCGTTCACATGCCCTTCCCCGCTTCGTGATGTCGCCCTCTTCGATGGCGACCCGCATGACGCAATTCCTCGTCGTGGCTGCTTTCAATAGGAAGGTAAGAACTAAGTAATGCAATGCCACGCTGTGCCATTCAATGCCTGCTCCACTGAGCTGCCAGCGGCGTTGGGCAGGCACGGATGTTCGCTGAAGAGGACACGGCCTGCTCCAGGCTCCGTGCCTGAGAAGTCGACACCGCGTCCGTGTCCAGCGACGAGGTACACCAGTGCTTCTTGGATCTTTCAGGGACCACTAGGCCGGCGCGCCAGGAGCCGATCGATCGTTTCGGTGGGGAGGAGCTTCCTGGCCCAGAGTCCCAGCTGAGTTCTGCATCTGCTCGACGACACGAAGAGCTTTCGCTCCTCAGATCTCGTTCAGCGAGGACCGATGAGCACTCGGGACCTCAGCGTGGCTACCCTGCCACTTCAAGAAACAGGGCGCCCTCCAGGAAGTCGGCACGTGATGGAAGCCGCGCCCATTTCCAAGCGGGCCTGCATTCGTCGCATGTCGAAGACAGCAAAAGCGAGTCCAAAAGATGGCCTCGGCGTGCCGCAGCATGCAGGATGCCTTAGTTTTCCATGGAGTGTGAACCTCCGATTGCTATTGCTCACAGACCAGGATCTGAGTATCCCAGCACAGTACCAGCCGTGACCACAGCCCAAACGCACGGACCGCCACGGCGAAGTGTCGCAGCAGCAGATCTCGCCAAAACACTCCAAGAGCTACATGCGACATGCAAAGAGCCTCTTGCATAGTTACCATTCCAGCAGCTATGCTACTGTACCCAGAAGGCCTGATTCACATCCTGCTAGGCGGCGTGCGACGATGAGGAACAAAAAACAAGAAGACACATGCACGGCCGTTCCCGGAAACGTTCTCCATCTTTGGGATAAAACACGATGCGGTTGCTTTTTTGGGACAGTCAAGCATGAGCTAGCACAGGCAAACACGCACACATAGACGTTGGAGGCATTCACGCAGCTCGATAACACAATCATGTCACATTCAAACATGCCGACTGCATGAGCAGCGTGCAAACATCAGCTGAGCGTCCCGAGTTGACAACACCACGCAACTGCAATATCTCCACTGCGAGGCTGCCGTGTAGACAGAGCTTTATAATCGTCCTACCTTTCCAAATGTCACCCAATTCGGCCAGACATGCACCGAGACCGCGATCATGCAGAGCAGAGCCCATTCCCTAATGTGGCACCACTAAACTATTCTGAAGATACATGTGGTGCATGACTTGCCTTGCACACATCCGCGTTGGAATTCAAGCGCATGGCTTGCCTGCATCGACTCCACTCACCCCTCATTTATTGACGAAGGCACACAGAAACATGCACCCCCTTAGTTCCAAGCGGACTGCGGCAGCCATCGTTCTGGCACAGGCACTAGTTTCAGGAGTCATGGGTTCGAAACCTCACCAGTACTAGCACCAGGTCAACCCTGAAGCATTCAGAAAAAAAGCAGCTATCTGCCAAGGTTGTCGAATTCGGGAGAGACAAAGTTGAAGCACAGCTTCCATCCCGACAACCCCGAAACAAGGGTCGCGATGCTCAAACAATCTGGCAGGATGGCAGAAGATCTGGAGGGAGTGGGCAACACGCCCATTGCAGATGCTCCCTCCTCGACATGACATGTAGTGCAGACAGACGGAAAGGGATGCAGCCCAGATCTACCTTTCCCGTCTTTGATCGTCCCTCGCATGCACTCGGAACTTTTTCTCCGAGTGCAGTTTCGATCTCAGGACCCTCTGGGAGCGTAAAGGAAGGCATGTGTTCTTTGGGAGTACAGCGGCACCACGATGTTGGTGAACGGCTGGATGTCCTGCAGAGCCGAACCCCATCGCAGCCGCATCTCTCCGAGTCCATCCCCCTATTTAGTAGCAACGGCGCCGAGGCTCTGCTTCGAAGCCTTGACACTTCGGATTCACTGCTAAGCTCTCTCCAAGCCTTCTGCAAAGTTGACGCCCGCCACAGTAGCCAACGGCGAGAACATGTTAGTGTAAGGCGAAGCAGGGTTCCCTGCTTACCTGCTGTTCTTCAAGCCACCTACCAGGTCACTTCTCCGCTCCTCGCCCTGTCTGAGCAATAAGGAAACATTAGCTAAGCACTGCCGATTACGGGACTATCTAGCAAGCACATATAACGCGGTCAAACCAACTCGAACTGCGCGGCAGTGCGGATTCGTCACGCACAGATCGCTGCAGCATGTCCGGTCCTTCTGGCCGGTCCTTGGTGCACGGTACATATTATGGTTCTGCTACTTCAGAGCACATCCAAGACAAAACCAATGCGGGTACGGCTACACCACATCGATGCCGCTGTCACTTTCAAACAGCAGAACCCCATGCCCAGCTCGTGCGGCTGTGCATCAGGAATGCGAAGAAGTCCGTGGCAAATGTCTGGCAATTCTTGCGCAATGTGTCGTATTCGGCAACTCTGCTGATGTAGTTCAGCAGGTAGCCAGCAATGTGTGCAGGACTGCGGAGTCTCAGACGCACCTTCCAGGGGCGTGAGGACACAGATCACCAAAAGGTCAACACTTACAGATTCCGTAGCAGGCGTGGGTTTTGCTTGTCTGCGCGCCTCAGAAGATGCATATATCCGGGGTGCTTTGAAGCGCCATTCGTTTCGAGGCAAGCCACCGTCCTCACTGTACCTGCATACGACCACGAATTGACACGGCCACACCCAAGAGCTTCCCAGCGTGACTGCTGGGCTGCCTTACATCATCTCAAACAGCACGCGTCCGCCTCCGGAGATACTGCTCCAGCTGCTCTTTCGAAGTGATTGGCATGTCGATCATGCGGATCTCAGATCTTACCTGGTTCCAGCTTCCTCGCATAGAACTTGCCATTGCTTCGTAGATTTCAGGAACTGGCTCAAGTTTGTCCGCAACCCAGTTGCTCTTTCCACCTTGCAGGGCAAGCTGTGTACACCCTACACGGCCCTGCACTCCAGCGCTTCAGAACTCTGCTGGTCCTCTGTTCCGCAGCCCCTCAACGTCAGCAACTCCACCGCTTTGGCAAACCGAGCACCGTAGCCACCGATGCCATTGAGCCATGCTAGCTCCACCAGCGTTGAAAACTGTCCATGGGACCATTCCAAAGCGACCTCATCAGGCTCAAAGTCAACAGCGCACACTGAGACAGAGTGCTCACTGGATCTAAAGTCATCGACTAGGCGAAAGCGGGTGCTTGTTCAAGCTCGTCACCGCCACATGCCACGTCTGAAGGTCCCGCAGCGTCTCACTGTCCACCGGGTAGCGATGTGCAATCGCATGCACTTGAACAGCCTCTGCATCCTTGTGGGGTCCCGTGAGAAGCGTGGACACCAATCGCTCTCCAAAGTGGCAGGCACCGGGGCTGCGGATGCATCGTGGCGTGAACCACCACACAAAGCCGGCCGAATCTTTGGACCAGCCCTGAGTTAAAGTAGAGTAGACAATGCCATGATTCGAAACGCACGTGCGAAACACGGAAACTGGTGTGAGGAAGAGTGGTAGGTATGTCGCCTTCTTCATCCAGGAAGGTGCCAGGAAGCTTGCACGACATCTCTCCGGCAGTTTCTTTGGAAGCTCGTCACCATCAACCCAGATTCGCTTCACAGCCGCCGTCATTGGCAGCAGGCCTGAATGCATCAGGGACTATAGGGCTTGCCATGCAGCTGCAAGAACTTCACGCTTGCATTCAACATTGCAGCACCGTCTTATGCTTTCCTCCTGCATTCTTCTTACGACATCTTGGGGAGCCGACCTCGCTGCTTCTGAGTGATAGATCGAAGCTGCAGGTTGACGAGGCTAGGCCAGCCATTCAGCGGACCTGACGGAGCTCTTACTTTCAAGCTCGGTCCCTCGTTCGTCCAAAGGGCAGGCCTGGCAGGATCCAGGTGTCCCCTACTTTTTGTAGTTGGGACAAGAGCTCTGATTGTCTGATGACGGGCATCGGCCGCCGTGGCTTCACTTCACCCGACGGCAAACAGTCCCTCGGGTGGACGTAGTCGTCCGTAAAGACCTGGAACCAGGCGAACTCTGGAGCTACCGATGCCTGCCCCGAGCATGTCCTGAAGCTACAGAATATTGTGGGGGAAAGAGGTCGATCTGGACACTGCGCTCGTACTCTAGACTCTGACACTAGCTCACCTTGGCATGCCAAACCACGCCGTCATCCGTGTCACCTGAGCTCACTGCACATGGCAGTTGCAGCATGTTGACGGATGTTCAAGGAAAGTGTGCAACAGCGTCTTTGAGGTGAACACTCGCAAGCTGGGCTGGAGATGGCTCGGATGGCTGCCCTTCCTGGTAGCCACCCCCATCCGAATCCGGTTCGTCATCGGAGTCCACTTGCAGCAATCCTAGCCGCAAGTTTTTTCAAGCACTTCCATGCTTCGCCTTGCACAAAAACCACCATCAGCTTCCTGACTCTGGCGGCGGAAACAAGCCGCTCTTCCTCTTCAGCACCGGTTCTTCCATCAGCGGGAGCTGCTCAACTCCCGACGTAGAGCCGGCCATGATGGAACTCACGATACAAACTCCTACAGCGTGACAAGAAGGGATACAAGTGAAAGTACAAGTAGCTGCCACTAGAACGTGCCAGGACCAGAGCTGCTTTGCAAACCTTGCCGGGGAGGCAGGGAGGCCTTCGAGATGGCACTTGTGGTGAGAATGACATGACAGGGAGCCCAAACTGCAGAGCGGTTTCTCAGGCACAGCAACCAGGCAGTGCACATTTCACAGCGCACATAGCTCGGAGCATCCTGCCGCTTCTTCTTCCCGTTGGTGCTGGCCTTGCAGCTTTCTCAAAAGCAGGGCATGCTCTCTCTGCTGATCAACGGCCTCGAGTGCTCATGAAAGCTGCTATAACTCTTTAGACCCAAGGAGGCAGTTCTCCCGTTCTGATAATTCTGATAGTTGAGCAAGCCGCTGCAAACAAGACAGGAACAGTGAGCCGCGAAAATGTCAGAAGAACAAGGTGGATGAATCCAAGACGAATCCCATTCCTGTAGTGATCACTGTAGCTGTGGAAGCTGATGATGGAACAAATTGTCACCATCCCAACTCCCACACAATATTTAGAGGACGACGTTGAATGCATGAAAGAAATAAACAAGTCATTAGGTGCTTCAGCTTCAGTGTGCTTGATCTCAAGCTTCCCCAAAATCCGCTGTGTCTCGCATGCATAGTTTGCACCAACTGCAGCAGAAACAAGTTTCACTTGGCAAGTGGAACAGAGCAGTGTACAGTAGCAGCAACCGGCCCTGGCCCCTTCAACTTGTAAAGGGCAAAAGCAAAGCATCGCCGCTCTCCCTCGGCTCACCTGCTCCTCCATCGTGCGCTTCCGCACGGGCGTTCTGTTGGCCGACCTTAGCTTCTTCACTTTCTGCAAGAAGCGCTCCCGAAGCCTTGGCCTGGGCTTCAGCTTGCTTGCGGCCATGTAGGTGCCCCACTCCCCGAAATGCACGGAGCCCAAATAGTCGGTGACCTCCCGGCATTCGGGCCTGGCCGTCCCCGTCGCGTGGAAACCCCGCTCGACTGCAGCTCACAGGCCGACGCACGCACTGAGCTGGCGGCCTGAGGATGCTGAGAGAAGCTTCCAACCTGGCTTCGACTTCGAGGTTTCGACTCTCAGAATTTCGAGGTCTCCGTGCAAGGCCTCAAGTTCTGGTAGATCTTGGGCCATCGGGCGGCTGCCTGCGCAGTGAAGTCGTTTCTGTCGGAGACCCAGAAGCAACCAGTTGAGCTTCGAGCTGAATACTGCTTTCACTGCAACCCCTCTCCATGCAAATGCTGCAAAAGGCACACTGCCAGGATCTCACGGGTATGACATGATAATACACTCTTTCGTCCCCTATGATGTCTGATGCCGCTCTTACTTTCAGCCCCCAGAGCATAGGGCGAGGTCTGCCAGGATGCCTCTCGCCACCACTTCATGCCGTGCTCGTTGGGCTCAATTGAGCGCACTGGCACAGGCGGAGGTGGAGGCGCTTCCTTCCGCACGCAAGCCGTGAATCCATGGCCCGTGACTCGGTAACTCGTGGCGTCTCCTCGGCTTCCATGGAAACTTCGACCGCCTCCATGGCCTCCGCGGCGTCCGCGCTTGGCCTCCAGGCGCCATGCGCCGCTGGATCTGTTCTCTTTGCTGCCCCTACTAGTGAGTGTCTCTGGGGGCGTGGCTTCTCTGGCTCCACAGGTGTTGGGGCAGCCACACTGTCACCTTTGTCACGACAGCACCACCACCAGCACATGTGAGTCAATCGCTTCAAACCGAGAGCTGCACCCGAGGAAACTGTTTCAGACGGTGTGGGCCTCAGGGCTGCAGCCGCGGCTCCACTTGGATACATCTTGTATCATCCTGTGACCTTCCACATCCATCCGCAACTAGACACTCCCCACCACGTGAAACATACGCGATGCGCAGCACTGGCCCTCACTCCTCGAATCTGAGGCCGGAGCGCGGCAGATGCGCTTAACTCCTGCATTCACGGCAAAAGTGCCATGCGGAGCTGGATGTCGTGGCAATCGTAGATCTGCTTTTGTTATTTGCAAGTGATTTGCGACGGAAAGTGGATGGTCCTCACACGTTTTGGACTTCGGCTGCCGCTCCATGACGCGTTGCAGCAGCGTAGAGTTGCCCACAGTCAGCGGCACCTGTGCGGGGACTTCCTGTACAGTCCAAGTACGTCCATGAGGAGTTGAGCGTGCTGAGTCGAAGAACAATGCGTTCATGGCTTGAAAAGCGAAAAGCAGCAACCCGACAGCGCGGTGTTTTGTCTGGTTCGCGGCTTTCTGAAGAGTATCACAACTGTTCCAGCTGTCGCCAAAAGAAAAGCTGATCTGGGAAACTGTAAGCATGCTGTAGCCCGGTTTCCACTCTCGACATCCACTCATGCTCTGTGCGGGGCCTGCTCTGCTGCGGACGTCTCGGTGGGGCCAGTACAGGGAGCTCCGGCCACACTTCCCTGCATTCAGAACTGCCCCGCAAGTTCTCCACAGGGAAGGGCCAGAGGACTGAGTTCCAAGCGGTCTGGGCCTTCTTCCCTGTCGCGCGCCGACGTGGCCTCTGACTGTGGGCCATGGCACTTAGTTTGGCAGGGTTACATGCTAGAGTAGTTTCTCGGTGCTGTCGTGGAGTGACCATGCAGTACCACAGACTGAGTCGAGAGAAACCGACACAGCAAAATTTCGATCAATCCCTGCCGCTGCCTGTCACCGGCCCCTTGAACAGTCGAGTCGTGCACCTGCACACTAACTCTTAACTCCAAGCCGAAGTTACTACTGACACACTGGATGGACACGAAGGCCAAAGATGCTGGTAGCTCTGCCATGGGCGCGACGAGCTGGGGATTCCCGAAGCGGTCGACATACTTCGTGTTGGCTCTCTTGCCAGACGAAAGGGCTCACTAAGACTAAGACATTGCTGACAGAAAGATCTGCTTGCAGAGCTGTGCAAGGCAGATAGCACCTTGGTCTGCTTGTGCTTTGGGTTCAGGAACGACATGGCCTGCAATCGGCTACTGTACGACGCACACTTACACAGGATGCTAAACCGCTATGCCCGGTGAACCCGACTCCTCCTCGAGAGTTGAGCAGGACTTTATCGCCTCTTGCACGCTGGCCTCCGCGCAGAAGCCACATTGTGCTGCATCATGTAGGTTGTTTGCAGGAGGTTTTGGGATCCCTCGAAAATCGCGACTGACTGAAAGCCTGCCCTGCCTCCGCATAGCCCTTTTCAAACAATGCCACTGCAATGTCGACGTTCATCCCAGAGTCGCAAACCATCCGTCCTGGCAGGTGGAATGCTGCTTCTCTGCTCTTGGAAAAGCCTCTGACAAACATCCAACTCGGCACCTGCGCCACTAGTATCGGACGCGGCTTGGATGGCGTCTTGCTGCCTTGAGCCCAAACCTGCACCAGCCGGGCCGCAAGCGTCCCATCTAATGCGGCATATAACAGCCTGGTGCAGTTCTCAAGCCACAGTACACTCCCTGAAGCATGTGATCCGGAGAGTGTTGCTCTTTTTTTCCTGCTGGGATGGTTGTAGCCGTGACGAGAAATGACGGTGACATGGAAATCCAAGCTCCGCTAGCTCGCCGACACAGAGGCATAAGTCAGAACTGCAATGGCATTCTGAAAATCCGAATAGCTCTGGGAACCTGTTGCACGACTCATACGAAGTTGGTGCGGCGCAGCTTGTTCTGCAATTTGCAATCACTGTGCACTTGTGAGTCCTATCTGCACTCTTCAAGAGCTCTGCTGTGGCTCCGTCCTCGAGGCCTGACCTTCCTCGATTGCCTCACGTTCTACCTGAGACCCAGACTGCTACGGTGAACTTCCTGCCCTGACAGCCCTGGCCCTAGGCCCTAGCATCCCTAAGCATTAACTCCAGCGCGTCAGCCGTCAGAGGCGCCGAGGCCTGGGACTCGAAGCTCCAGCGCAAGAGTCCCCCTTTCAGACGGCTGCAGGGAGCCTCCTAAGCAACGCCGGCTGGTCTTCTCTCCTGGCTTGATCTTCTTTCGGGTCGAACTGCGGAGCCGAGAACTACCAGTACAAGGCATCTTGACGAGTCTCCTGGTCCCGCTCAATGACGCGGGCCGTGCCGATCGCCACCTTCATTTGCTGGAAGCGGTCGAAAGTGATGCCAGCCATGCCTGGCTGAATTGCGGGAACAATCACTCTTGAAGCCTGTTCAGCAAAGGCCTGCTGGCACCCAGTTTCGCCAGAGCCGCTCCTGAGCCGCACAAATGTGCTGGCACGTGTCGCGACTTCTGATCAGTGTTTCCTGACTTCAGCTCAGTCACTAGACAGGACTCTGCAGGGGTGAATTCAAACTCACCTGCACAAGGACGACTGCTCTCTTTTGCTGTGTCTGGCAGAGCCTGGAAGAGTGCCCCTTGTGGCACGACAATGCGGAACGAGGCCTTGGGAGTACTGGAGGACCTCCAGCTGAGACAAACAGCCGTCGCTGTCGGCATCGTACTGGTCGAAGAGTTCCTGCCGCAGCACTGCGAGCGGATGCGACCGGTCTCAGCAGCTCCCCGTACGCCCGGCTCCTGCATGCGCTTGGTTCGCGCTACGGCCGCCTCCTGACGTGCCAACTTCTGCTTGCCCTCCCGCACGACGCTGGCCTCAGAAGCAGAACGGGCTTGACCGCAGTCGGCTTCATCGACATCATTGTCTGTACATCACTTTGTGGAAACTTGTTCGACATGCTCTTCATGTGAGAAAATCCTGGTGATGGTACAAATAACAAGCTCAACGTCACGCATGCTGTCAGATCTCTTCCCATGCTGTTCTATGCATCTCTCGATCAGAGATCATCGTCGCGCTGTCGACATTTGCTGTCGTTGTGACAACAGTCACATGTCTCCCAGGCAGTGCCACGGTTGACTGCTTGTTCAGCCCAGATTCCATGTCTGAAGGTCGGTCGAATGCCTCTTTCGGACGCAAGCTAAGCGGCCTAGCTGCTAACAGCAGAAGGCGAGCTGAGACTTTTCGGGACGAAATCCAAACGGTGCGGAATAGTTTGGATTATTTTGAATGTTCATGCTTCGTCATTAGAAAGGCTCAGCCGCTGGAGCAACTTTCATCTCCTGGCTTGTCTTGTATGGCCGTAAACAAGCTTTGAGCCAAGCTTGAGCATTGCAGCACGAGATGGAGGAGTCGCCTTTCTATGCGTGGTGACGGCTAGGAGGCTTCGGCATGGGCTTCGGGCTGGGAGAGGTCGAGTAAGCAGAGGCAGGCTGAGCTCGCCACAGCATTCGTGGCTGTCATTGTCAAGTCGCCTGCTGCATATTGCATTTGAGGCTCCATTCAAGTGCTTGATTCATGATGCAAGCAGAACCGAGAGATTTTGCGGTCAAGGGGCTACTCAGCTTCTTGATCTTCGCGATGACGAGGCGCAGATCAACTAAGGCAGGGCCCTTGGTGAAGCTCTGGAGTTCCTGGACACGGATACACGGAGAGACCTGGCCTCTGGGCTTCAGGGCATCGCGTGCCTCATGCTCCTTCGCCTTCTCGTCCATGAACGACTGGTACCGGTCGCTCATGCCTTGGGCCTGGAGTTGAGCTCTGCTGAGACCGGGCGTCTCAAATGCCGGACACCCTCACCTCCAGGCCGGCGTTTTCGAGCTGGTCGTTCATGTCTTCCCTGTCGTTTTCCTGGCGGATGGATAAATATGACATCGCTCTCCATTGCTGGTGCCGCAGAGGGGATGACATCAACAGGGACGAAGATACGCAGCATGCAGCAACGATCGATAAGGTTTGGCTAGACCTGGTCAATCTGCTGCTGCAGCGAGTGCTTGTGCAAGGTCAGTGAACTCCATATGTGTGGTGCTGGCCTCTTTGGATCTCATCACCCACAGGTGCTTGGCCGGGTGTATGCCAATGTTTGCATCACGAGCTCGGTCCTCACACCCTCGTCACCTTTCTCTGGCATCAGAGGAGTTTTTGGCAGGGCCTTAGCCTCGCTCCTATTGCAGCCAACGTGGGCCCATTTTGGCTGCCAGAAGAAGCGATGCGAGATGCATCATCAGCTGCAAAGCTGCTTCAACGGCAGCGTGTATATTTGCACGAGATGTCGTCTACGCTAGACAGGGATCTGGAGAAGTCTTTTCAGTGGTTCAAGACTAAAGCTCCTTCTGCAGCCCCACATTCTCGCGAATCAGCTCGGCTGTGGCCTTCAAACAGAAGACAAACACCATGTACTTCGCTGTGTGTTTCATGTGGACCGTTCTGTATCGGCAGGCCTTGATGTGGTCCTCACCACTCCTGCAACAGCTACAACAAGGCCCCGAGCCGTTGCAAACTCAAGTGAATCTTTCTGAACTCACTTCGGCTCGGCACACAGATGGGGTTCATTGCCGGGTCCTGACCATGGACTTCAATTCGGCCATCACTGCTCGCCTTTGCTGAGCTTCTTCGATGGCCTTTGGACAGAACACAAGAGCTCTGTACCTTCTGAAGCCACAAAGGCAGCCATGGGAAAACCACTCAAGGCCTCGCCTTGTCCATGTCCTTCTTCAGGATCTGCTGCAGACCTTCGGTCTTCGACAGGTCCCTCGCCGCCACGGACTCCAAGGTCTGAGCAGAAGCGTCTCTGGGACTACCTCGAGTTCTCGGGGGCCTAACTCAGGGCCCCAACCTCTGGCCCAACCGGCCCCTCTGTTCCGGCAACCCTGACAGCCGTGCCTTCAGAAGCCCATCAATCGAGTCGAACCTCACAACGCACGAGTGTCTGACAGAATGCTGGTCCTCAAGCACGCATGAAAGAACAAGAGATGCTTCAGTCCAGCAGCTGTCCGTTTTGAAGGTTGTTGATTGCATGGCGGACCGCAGCTGTGGCTCGTTCCTAAGACGACACAGGAAGCGAGTCTGCAAGGACCGAAATCCAATGGAAAGGCATCTAGGCCTTTGATCCTGCCACACTCTCGGTACAATCCTTGCCCATGCCTGCTGCACGATGCCGTGAACTTACGAAGACCCACTAATATGGCCCAGGTGCAGTTTCAGCTTTTCGATGAAGTTCCTCATTTCGAAGCCGCGCTTCATCTTCTAAACGTCTACGAGCCTTGGAGTCAGGACTCGAAGAATCCGATATGTTCTGACATGTTCTGAAGGCACCGCAGGATCTTCAGACACCGAAACTCTTCTTCATTCTAGGACTCCAGGACTTGGCAAACTCGAAGTGTCCACAACTAAGGCATTGCGCCTTGTCGCGCTCATCCGCGAGTCTGTCGTGATCTGTCAATGGACCATGCCTGCAGGCTTTGGACAGTCTTTCCGCTAGCAGTAGCTTAAAACTGGCTGCACAGGACATGAACATTCCTCTGCCGTCTATGCAAGAAAAAAGGCCCTGTCAAAAAGGAAGCCGCGCACGCACACCAGTCACTTGACCCAAGTGGAGGGTGAGAGAGAGAGAGAGAGCGAGACAGAGAGAGACAGAGAAAGACAGTGAGGCAGAGAAAGACAGGGAGAGACAGAGAGAGAGAGAGAGGCACAGACAGAGAGAGAGCGAGAGAGAGCGTGCGAGCAGAAGACTTGCGCTGACTTTGGGCCATTCTCTGTGCTGCGGCCAGGGCACATGTACGAGGCCCCGCCAACCTCAAAAGTCGACGGAATCATCAGCACTTAGGTAAGGAACGGAGGCAAATCGAGGCTTGCTATGGTGTGGACATGTTCGGACCTACCGGACGGCGCTGCTGAACAAGGAGCACTCACACACGAAGCCATGCGGCCTTCACGGCCTTCCCTAGCAACCGCATACGAAAGCCTGGCCAACTGGAACCTGAAATCTCAGAGGCTGACGGCTCCTCCTGGAACACCTGGCGGAGGAGGCGGCGGCGGTGCCTGGTAGCCTTGTCAGGAAACCATCATGCAAAGCCTCTGTTTGCAGCCTTTTTTGAAACTGTGCCGACGAGTCTTCAGTCTGACACTCGAGAATCAGCCACACGCTGCATCGGCTTATCAACCGATCATTAAGGATTTGCACCTGCTGGTACCTGCTCGCCCATGCTGGCACCATACGGCCTCACAGGTGGACGATGCACAAGCACACCCACTAGCAGTTTTCCTTTAACATCAGTCTGAACAACTGCGAACTAGTTTTTCATTTCAGCACGGCCTTCCATACGGATCCGTGTATCCGTAGGATGCACCATATCCTGGATACTGGCCTGTGAAGTTGCGCAACTGGCTTGCAACACACACGAAAGGGCGGCAACCAGGCTCTCAATGCCTGCCTGCGGCGTACTGCGCATATCCAGCCATGCCCAGCTGCCCTGAGGTGCCCATGGCAGCCGTCGGCATTGCACCCTGCACTGCGCCAAGTCACGGAGAGGGGACTGCATCGTGGCAGCCAGGAGATGGGTTTCGGTTTTTGCACGGTCCGTATTCACAGCAGTGTTGCTTTGCCGCTTTCCGCCCAAATCAGGTTGCCTGTAGTTTCACCCAAACGATCGTTGGCTCAAGTCGTTTCCAACAGCTGTCAACACATGAGTGGTAGATCAGAATTTGCCCAAGGTTTGCCGGTTATGCGAGTCGTGACAGCATGCCGAACCTATGCGATCGAAGCGTGGAGTGCAAAGGCAGGCTATTCAATGCTGCCTTGGGTGAAACGGTGGTTGATGCCGGTTGTTTCGTTGTCAGCTGTGTCAGCTACTTTAGGGCCTCAGGTTAGGCTAGGCGACACTAGACCTGCTGTATCATTTTACATTATCTTCATGCCACTAATGCGATGGTAACAATTTAAACATGTGACCATGGCTGACAGTACATTTTCGTCTTTCTGCGAAGTCATCGTGCTGTGTTCTCGCCATGCTTCGTTCTCTATGCCACTATGAAAGAAATGAGCGCCGCCTGTCAGACCAACCGTACTACGGTCACAGCCTCAAGTTGCCCGAGATGGGCCATGCAGCACAAGCGACAGGACAGATACAAGTAAGGAAAGCTGCAGCGCCCGCGCCCCAAGCAAAACTCAATAGACAATGAAAGAAACAGTTGATACAGACTTAACCTTGCATGGGGTGGGGTCGGCGCTAGGGACTTACATCGACGCCACTGGTAGGCCATGGTAAAGCCTCAGACTGCCAAGTGGAGCTGATAGCTGCAGATCTAGCAAGCGAGCTACGAGCTATTCGACATCACTAGTCGCTCCCCCGCCCCGGCACATAGTGCGCAGGGAGCCGGGAGTCGACAAAATCTCAGCGCTTGTGGTATGACGCTGCTCGACAGCAACATGCCACTGGTATCTGCCCGAAGCACTCCCAGGTTCCAGCTGAAACTCTTGAAACAGTCAAGAGGTGCTGCTCGATCACAGCACAAACTGCGATCGTGTAATGTACTTCCTGTGCACTGCACTACTCACAAGGAAGTCTGGACTGTGAATGGATATCTAGAGATTTGCAGTCTTGTGCCTTGCATGCTGACACCAGATCGCAATTGTCACTCGATGCACGCTTCTTTTCGCCTCTGAACTCGGACAGGAGGACAGGACAGAACAAGAAAGGGATCTGGGGCGGCGGGGTGTGGTACGACGCGAAATCACACAGTGATGCAAGGCGGCAGGACGGACCCAGTGCGGACGGAATGTGTGCGCGCAACAACAGCTTCACGGCACAAGGCGTGAAAGCAGGCCGTGCAAGAGCTGCGGAGGCTGTCCGTGCCTTGAGAATGTCATGATCTTACAACTCGCTTGGTACAGGTTTTCAGTGGATGGCGGATCCGCTCTACTATTTGTTGTGATTTTTCCAACTGTGCCGAAAGCTGGTTTGCTGCAAGTCTGCCATGTTGTTCTGCCGTTCCTGGGTGTCAACAGCGCCTTGGTGTGTAAGCACCCACAGATCTATACATGCTCCACAGCTTGCTCGACAAAACATGTTTTTGCTTCCCCTCTTCGATCTTAAAAGTGCCCACTGTTGACTGCCAAGCCTATCAGCACTCACTGCCACTGCTCTAGCTGAACAAATTAAACTCGCAGGATTGTCTGATGGTCGTCGTGACATGACATGAGAATCGAACCCACAAACCTGCATCATCGCCCAGGGCATCATGGCGTTCCTGAGCCGCAAAACATACCAGGGGCATCGGCTTAGAGCAGTGCACGAACAAAACGGGAGTGAGAGCAACGCAAATGCCAAGCTGCAGCTGTGCTGGATCAGCGCTTGCAGACACATCTCTAGGTTCCACGCCCAGAGTCGTGAGAAGCAGCCGTTTCCAAGAATGCTTATTTTTACGATTCCGATACGACTTTGATGAGTTCAGGAATCCTTCCAGTTATGGTTGTCTTATGGTTTTCTTATGGTTTACGATTTGGTTATGGTTTTCTTATGGTTTGTGATTTTGTGCTATGAAATTAACACACGATTCGGATACGATTTGGATACGACTTGGTACGATTTTGATACGATTTCGATACGTCTCCAGCCTCCCCCAGGACAGGTTTTGACATGTGTTTGCTATGTTGTTGATATGGTTTTCGGACGTGCAGCCGAGCTGCTTTCCGAGCCGTGCTTTTCCGCGCAGCGAGACCATAACCATATTCAAAAGCATAAACCAGCCATAACAACACCGTATTCAAGACCATATCAAAACCTTCAGCGGGACGAAACCCTAAACCATAACAAAATCGTAAGTTTTCACAAAAGTAACCATTGGCACGTACCGCTACTTTGCCGGGACTGGGCGTCACAACTCCAGGCTAAAGACATAGCCTTCAATAAGCTCCGATCTTGGCATTTGGGAACGCACCGGTCGACTTCGCCACGCGTGAAGTTTTCAAATGAGCCGCGGGAAGGACGCAGAAAACAAAAAGAGCCGGGGGGCTTCACACCACAAAATGGTGTCCTTTCGATGCACCCGAAGGCTTTCAATTCGTCGGTTTCGCCTGCAGGAACTAGTGCAGTCTTTTCACATTGGCTTTGCTTTGGTCTCCGCGAAACATCGTCGATGTGCGCAGATCACTTTTCATTTTTGTGGACGAGTTGTCGCAGGTTCGGCATGTCCGGTGTAATCAAACGCTTTGTCATCGAGTTCGGTAATGGAGCGCTCAGTGGCATGACGGGGAAGCCGTCCAGTCCAGCTACCCCTGGGCGGCCGAGGGCCCTGGACTCTTCGGAGTATGCTCTCACGACTCCTGACTGCTCATAACAGCACCAAGCTTCATGAACTGCTGCTGCTGCTGCTCGTCGCCCTGGCTGCCTTGTTCAGGCGTTGCTGGATCAACTACAACATGTGCAAAAAGGTGACAAGTCCGATACGATCACGATGAGGCTTCGCTGAAGCAGCTGAGGCACTCGAAGAGTAGTACGAGTAAGAGCTGTCATCGGAACTGTCGGAGTCGGACCCCTGCTTCTCCTTCTTTGCCTGCCCGTGACCCTCACAACAGGCTACACACAGTTCAGATATGTTCAGATGGCAGGAGAATCCTTGGCCGGCTTCTTCTTTGCGTCTGCCTTTGCTGCAGCATCCTGCAGCTTCTCTGACGCTACTCCGACAGACCTACGAAAGAGCACAGCGAGGCAACGTCTGGCTACGGTGTTTGGTCCTTCTTTTTGCTCTTCGTCTTCTGCTTCCCTCCGTCCTCAGCTCCAGCTGCAGCTCCTTTCCAGCACAGGTTTTGCACAGATCTGCAATCGACCTGTCGACCCTTGCATCAGCTCCTTTGTCCTTCTCCTCTTTTGACTTCTTCGGCTTTTCTGCCTCGCAGATGCACTCTGTGCTACCCTGCCGCAAGAGCACCACAGTTGTTCCACAAAGGCTTCACTCCCTCTTTCTGCAGCAGACCTGTGGCCGACACATGAAGCAGACTGCCTTGTCTCCCTTACCAGCTTTGCCCGTCGCCTGCAGAACTGCGAAAGGATCTCAAAATTGAAGCCGTCCAGCATCGCAATCGGATCCGATGCAAAACCGCAGCAAGACAGTGCCAGAAACTGCAACGAGATCCACGTTGCGCAAAGAAGGCCTTTTCAGGCTTTTCTGCTTTGGCTTTGTCCGCCTGCGCAGGACGCGCCATGTTTCAGACCACACTAGCATGCTTTAACGGATCACTTTTTGCACACCTACATGGCATCTTCGGCACGGGCTGGACGATGCGCCCAGGCCTTCTCACCGTCGGCCTTCTCAGCTTTGCCTTTGCCAGCCTTTGGAGCCTTCTCCGGTTTTTCAGGTTTCTCGGCTTTTTCTGCCTTGTCCGGCTTCTCTTTAGCTTTGTCCTCCCGGCCAAATTAGTTGAAAGGTCTAAGCAAAACACAGGAGGGTGGCCTTCACCTTCTTCACTTTCTTGCCCTCTGTCTTTTTGCCTCGACAGTGGACTAGATGAGGCGAAACTTCGCACAGCTGCGCTGGCACGCCCCACATGTTGCAGCCAAAGGTCCTGCTTCCGCATTCCTTGACGCATGTTGGCTGCATGCTCTCAGCAAACTCTCACGACGATTGTTGTGCTGTCAGAGGCAGCCTGGCTCCGGTGTTGGGTGCCTTCTTAGACTCTTAGGCAAGTGACAAGCACGGCCTGCGCCCTGATTATCCTGGTTCTGCTTGCGTGCTGAGGAACCGCTTCGTATCGGATGCTGAAGACGCCTCACGCTGCCGCTTCCGGCGCTGCCTCGATGTTCACTGCACACGCTCGAGCAAATTGGCAGGGCTATGGAAAAGCTCAGCTGGGAAGGAAACGGTCTGGCACGGCTTCGTGACCTCCGGCTTTGCCTGTCAGCAGCGACTCGAGACTCGCAAGATGTGGCGCAGTACGGCCTACTTGGTGCAATGCTCCCAGTGTGTTGCCAGGCCCGCTACCTTCGTGCCGACGAGCCCGCTCGGCGGCGGGTGCGATGCCGGCTCCCGGACCGGCCCCGGCGTGGCATGACCAAGGATGGGACTCAAGGACTACCACAGGTCTTGCAGTGGTGTTAACTGCAGCCTGGTTGAGAAACTTACAAGACTGGTTGGAAGCGGCTGGGGCATTTCCTCCACTCGAAAGCACCAACGTGATTGATCTGTATGAGTAGCAGCGGAAAGCTGGAGTGCCACTTCTTGACTAAGTGTTCACGAAAGTTGGTGGTTCTAGGCTACCGAGAGATATCAAGAGTTTGTCTGCTCGCAGGTGACGGCAATTCGTCGGTGGCTTCTTGTTCTTTCCCAACAACTGAGAGCCTGCAGTGCTGACATACCAAGACCTACCAATTTGCGAATTCGGCGAAGCATAATTATCACAACAGCAGAAAGAAATTCAGAAAGGAACGGTCCGAACATCACAAAATCCTTTTCAATGGCTCTTGCCCGCTCGCTGAATTCTGCTTGAGAGAAAGAGAGAGACAACTGAATTTGCTACTGGGGCGCCACTTCGTACTGCGCAGCGCAGGCGCGACATATCAAGCAAGTCTGTGCTTGACGGGCCATGTGCTGAAAATGTAAAAGTTCGCCAAGGCTGGTGCCGCACTGTTTCCTGTACTCTCTGATCAAGAAACCGCGATAGTCGGCTTTGTCCATCCCCTAAACTGCTACAGTTTCCGGTACTTCTCGATGGCCTTCTTCACATTGTCTTGCTTCTCCGCAGCAACCATGCACATGCATTTCTCCACCGTGCCAACTGGTCCACCACAGCACATGAAGAAGGGCTTGACACAGCCAGGAGCTTCTCCAGCGACTTCCTCTTCGATCTTCAGTTTGGCCTGCTCTTTCAGCTGCGCATGAGCTGCATCCATGGCTCCACGGGAAATTTGGAGAATAAGTTCACTCGAGCTCTGCCTGAACTCTGAAACGGCGGAGGGCCAGATTGTTTCGAATTTCGATTTGTAATAGGGCAGTGTGGTTGGACAGTGAGCAAAACACGCATCTGATATATGCACGAATTGCCTGGGCTGAGGCGTTCATTGGGGCTCGCATGCGCTTTGCAGCCGCTTACGCAAGCGCGATTTTCTGGCGATGCAGGTCTTCTGTCACTGCCGGTCGCCTGCAAAGAACCGCACCCTGTAGATGAAGAAGACCAAAACCTGCCACAAGGTCAGCGATCGGGCCTGGTCGCGCTTGCCCCATTAGAATTAGCACCTGTCATTTACTTCCTTGTCTTGTGCCCACAAACCCCAGCAGGGTGATGAGCCCCACTGGTTGCCTTGGACTGATCTGAACATATGCAGGGTGCTGCACATCTCTCTGCCTGCAGGAGCACAGGGGACACGATGAGCGTCAGCTGAAGCCATCGCCTCAGCCGATGTTGAAAACGCGCTTTTCTTTCCTTGCCCGCATGCAGAATACTAAGGCCTTTGCACCTTGACTGAGAAGTCCATGAGCAAGTTGGCCCTTAAGAAGTAGACGGAAAGGGCCAGCCCTGAACAAACATCAATGGTCCTTCTTTGAAACATGCGATGTCATGTCACAGCAGCGCATGCCTCCAAGCACAAAGACCCATCGAAGGAAGGAAACTGGAATGATGCAAAGAATGGACCTGAAGATCGTCAGACAACACACAGTGTACCATAGATTGCGGTGGGAAAGGCAACACGAATGATTTCAGCACCCGCTTCTATGCCGAGGAAGGTACACTGGAATCGAAGGAGCCAGTCCATACCTAAATGCACACTGTTTATGGCGACGAGGTGGGCATCTCAAGGAATAGGGAATAAAAGCTGCTCGTGACAAATCTCGAAATCGTATCCTGCTGCTGCGGCACCCACACACGCAAATGATCTGCTTGAAGTCAATGTTTCCGACCTTCCAGGTCAGTGGTGCGTCTTCCCGTGCCAATTTGCAGACTCGACTAGTGTGCAGATACTGCATAGGGAATTTGCGCAGGCCTCCTCATCCGTGAAGAACACGGACCTTCCAAGCATCCGACAGCAGGAAGCTCAGAAATATCTCGCCACCGACAAAGCGATTGAGGCGGCCGGCACTCGTGCTAAAAGCGGCACCGCAATCAAGCCCCTGGTTCGGTGCTAGAAGAGAATTGGAGAGCTTTTAATCTTCATCTTTGGCATTTGAATTGTATTCTTCCAAGGTCGAAGCCCGTAGATAATGCTCGCAGCCAGGGGCACCAAGCTGTAGTCTGCCTTGCAGAGCATCTCTTGGACGACTGTATCTCCTGACCCAAGGACCCAGGAGCCTTGAAGAGGCTGGGGTGCTCCGATTCGACCAACCTGTGGCACTTTGGCCCAGCAGCATCCGCAGAGCATGGATGGATCGGCACTCCCTTGCCTAGCGAAGTTCCCTGTGGCTGCTAGGAAAAGCACGGCCGTAGTGGCGATCCAGAAGGGTCCTAGGCTCTGACAGAGTCACGCAAAAAAAGCAACGAGCCTTAGCCGTCGGACCGTAGAAGTCAGGACGGGCCCGCATCTCCTTGCACAGCGTTTGCACCAGCTGATCAAGCTGCACTGCGGGCATGCCCATGACACATGCGAGGCATGGAGGGGGTGGGCACATGGCACACGGGCGAAAAACCGCTCTCCGTCACAGCGCTATGGGCGAAAGACAAAACTCGCTTTCCTCGGCCGTTGACCTGTCTGGAGCCGGATAGGGCCTGCGGTGACCAGCCGATCAGGGAGGGACGTCTAGGCTCAGAAATTCAACAATGCAGGGGGCACGAGAGCAACTTCAGCCGACGAACCACATCATCTGTGCTGACCTGGGTGCAACTGACCACTTGGCGCCGCTCGTCACCGTTTGCACACTTGTCGTTGTCAGGGTAGTGAGTAGTGTCCTGCTCAGCCTCTGACGTCAAAGAGGCTTTGAGCAAGTGCCAATACCCAGGCTGAAAAACCTGTGACGCCACCTCCATGCGACGATGACAATGATTCAATGATTCCTTTATTTCCACAAGTGCTCCCAAGATTATGTACAGGACATTGTCCTGATCAGCCAAACGACAATCATGCCCGAGCCTTGCTCAGCAGGCGCAGCACCCCCTGCTGTGGCAGCAGCGGCACCTGAACGGCATGACGCAGACTTACGGAGTCCAGCCAGCAGGGTCGAATGCCTGCGGCAAACCCTGCAGCATAGCCACCGAGCCCACCAGCGCCTGGACGAGACGCAGGGCACTGCAATCAGATATGAGCCTACGCGCTGGCTGGCCCATGTTTTACTGCGCGATGCAAGTAGCCTTTGCCCCATTCAGGGCTGCACTTAACATCTGCAAGGCATGAAAATGCTGATTGCAACTGGCTTTGGGAGCCAGGGGAGCAACCCAGAAGCTCGTTCCTGTACATGAGGTGCTCCGCAGGCCGAAAAATCTTGTAGATGTGTACTCCACGGCAACAGTGGTAGCTTGCGAGTGTGTGACACAACAGACCTCGACATCAGGGAGTACATCCAGGCAGCTTCAGCCTCACTGAATGCTGCAAGACCTCAGCTCGAAGTCTTCAGGAGAAACCGAAGCCCGAAAACGCCCAAAGCTCTCAACACGCTCTCCTTCCGCGCGGTGCTCCGCGAATCAAGTCGTGACATTGGACTTGAGGTCCGCTGCTAGGTAAATACGCTGCCTACACGAGCGGATTCGTTTCCACTGCTTGCTGTGCAGCGTTGACAGAACGAAAACAGACCCTTGCTGGCCACACAAGACACAGACAAAGCAGTGAACATGCAGTATTCGCCCCAGGAACTCGATGGTCGGAGTCTAAACTCAAAGCACTCTCTTCGACTCAGCACTCTCAGCCCAGCGGCGGAGGACAACACGGCGGCACCACACAGTCTGCTGCACGATCAGGATCTGCCTGGGCGATGGTCTCCAGAAGCTTCCGCATTCTCCTTCCTGGGGCGCATGAGACAAAGGACATGAGCGAGCTCTTGACGCCGGTACTGCCATAGAGAAGCTGCCGATTGATGCATGATTATGTCTGCTACACGAGAAGCTGGACTCCATCGCCAAGTTTCCTTTCGCTCTCCGCAGCACCAGCTCCTGACAAAAACACCACACGTGCGTACACCATATTCCCATACTCCATTTCAGCAGTCACACTCAACACAGACACCGAACAATGTCTTGGTCCTGGTTGGTTTCGAGCTTCCATGCCCCCTGGCATGCCATGTGGCAAGCCGGAATCATCAAGAGCTCACGCGAGAGCCTTCCGCACCAGCAGAACTGCACAGTCCTCTACAGCTTGGATGATCAAGACGTAGCCAGCACAAGCAAAAGACAGTTTGATTCAGTCTGATCATGGCATGCCATGCGGTGCTCCTCGTGACCGTACTGCACAGCCCAGCGGAGAGCCGTCTCATTGGAAAGCTCCTGGATTGCGAAGCTCCAACGTACACGCTCAGCGGAACACTTGAGACGTGCCTGGTCGACAGGGCCTCCTGCATCGAGCAGGACCTGTTTGCTGCTTGTTTTGACCATTCTTTCAACGGCGGTATGTCTCCGCCTTGAGGAGATCGGGATCTCCCCAGGAGGCTGCTCCCACGATAGCCTATAAACAATCAAGCTTCAGATCTTGAGACCATGGCGTCAGTGAGTTGAAGACTATGCAGAAACTGAAAACAAGGCTGGAGGATGACAGTCGCAATCAGCCTGAAGGGTAATCGCGGGGTCGGCGCCGTGCCGCAGCAACATCTTGATGGCATCTTCGTTTCCAGACCTGCGTGCTGCATAAGCACCCCATCAACTGACCGAGTCGTGAAGCCGACGAGCGTCTGAACTCACAGAGTGCACGGACCGCTCCCTTGTGCAACTGAGGCTTCTGCCAGGCGCAGGCATCTAGGGCATAGTAACCATCCTAACAACATACCCAGCATATCCCAGCATGCTTTCCAAGCAAGCAGAAATCGCATGGTGTCCTGTGGTCTGGGCTGGTTGAAATCGACACCCTCCTGCAGTGCGACAAGCAGGTGGCTGACAGTTGGCAGATGGACTAGACTGACTCGATGGTTCGCGTACTCATGAATGCCCCTCTTGTTGCTGCCAAAAAGGTTGCAGCCTTGCACAACCTGTTCCAGAAGCGCTCCTCCCCTAGTTTCTCTAGCATCTTCACGTCATTGTTGCAAGCAGCGGCATGCACCTTCCGCAGCGCCACTTCACACAATCTCGCACGTGAACTTCTCTTGGAGCAGGGCCACTTGCCTTGAGCTCAGGCTCCAAGTTGGCATAAGGGTCCTCCGTCAGAAATCGCAAGTCTGGGCGGCAAGGATGAGACGACTCGAGACTTCGTGACCAACTAACCGTGACAAGAACAGGTCCTCACCCTTCCTCTCATCCTCGCCCTGGCACGTCAATGTCAATCTTTGCTTATTGCTGGATAGGCTGGTACAAGGCAGGCCTTCAGCTTGCGGGTTAGGAATCGGAACATGGCACAAGTCGTGTAAAAGATAGGGCTAAATCGATGTCGACTTACAACCAGATGTTTGCTTCGGTAGTGCGTGCGAAAACGACTTGTTTGTCAAGTGCAGGAGCTTGCCCTGGGACGGATGATGACCGCAGGCTGATTGCAACTACTCCAGATCCAAATGGCTTCATGTGGCGAGGAAGACCTTGTTGAAGGACTGCTGCAGAATTGTCACACAGCCCTACCGCAAGAATGCAAGGAGCAGGCTGCCAGAAAGTGCTTGGTGACAAACATCGATATGAGCTGCATTTCAACCATGCAACTAGCCACTAACTCAAGATGCATTCGGTGTTTCCTCTTGCAAGATGGCCTGCTGGTGCCTGCGGTGGGATGTGCGAACCTTGCGTGGCACTCTGGCTGCTCGAACCTGAGCGAGCTTCACGGCTTCACATGCTGCTGACACCAAGAACCAGAGCAAAGGACAAATCGTGCCAGAAAAGAGTAGCAGCTTGAAACGAAAGCTGCGACATCAATCACCCCGGACCAATGCCTACGGGTATTCGATGCCTGTCGGCAGATCACAGTATGGAACAGTGCAACCTGGTGACCCATGGTTCCGGTGGGCTCGTCTTTCAAAGATACCAGCTCGCTGGCCTGCGGAGCCTCGGCAAGTTGCAAGGGTTACGTGGAGGCCACCTTGCAGATCGCCTCAGCGGACTCACAGCTCCTCGCTGCCCCCATGAAGATGTCGTCTAACTCCTGCTTGCGAGGGCTCGGACCATATTAACTGCTGAGTTTGCCATTACGACTACAAACAAAGACTAGCTAGCTGCTCTCTGTGCACAAGTTGCTTCTGTTCGTTGTTGTTCGTGGGTGTTCGTATTGGTGGGGGCCCACCAAGGCCCAAGCATGAGAGAAACAAGATCAGTTTGCGGAATTCCACACTCTCCATGATGATTTCTTGCAAGCCTGGCCTGGCGGCCAGTTGAGACAGGGGTGGTTTGAGAACGAACCTGCCAGGGCCACTCAAGACATGAGCGCTTCTTCACTTACCGGCATGGCTGTAGCAGTAGCCGGTCTTGTCCATGGCATGTGGGCACAGATGGCTATAATGGAAGTCACCGCAGTCAAACAATGCCTCCAGGTCTGCAGCAGTGGGCTTGTACTGAAACACCTGGGAGCAACTGTTGACTGCTCGCGTGCAACATCCGGCATCTTCGCGGAACCAGTACTGGCACGTGCCAAGTGCTTCTAAGGGCCACAACGCCTGCACACTGCGTAGCTACTGCACCCCACGACCATGGCTCACTTTGCCACTGTAAGAACATGTCAAGCCTGGACGATGCCTTTGCATGCTTTCTGAAGTTCCTGAACCCACGCTTCCCACTCCTGAGTACATCTGAGAACCAAACATCTGATGTGCCAGAAGCCTGCCATAGCACCGCAAGTATCGCAGCACGTCTGCTTGGATTTGTTTTCTGTTCGCGCACCTCGTCCCAGCTGGGTCGATCCCACTGTGTCTTGTTCATAACAGCCTGAGACCCTTTTACACATGCCTCTAGAGCGTCTCGATCAACTAACTGGCTGCTGATTCGGTAGACTGACTCGTTGAGAGCCGCACATTGTGAAAGTATTCTTTGCCATCTTCGGTTGTGTACCTGAAAATATGGACGAAGGATGGCAACCTCACAAAGGACACGCGATACTGCAAAAAGCCACAGGCGACCGTTGCCAATTTGGTGGCAGTGCCATCGACATGGTTTGTCAAAGAAGTCGCGAAACTGCTTGGAACGTGTGTTGGGCTGCTAGGCTATGCTATCAAACCTTGGAAATGTGGGTCCTGCATGGGTCATGCTTGGAAGGGGAGATGGCTCAGGAATAAGCAATGGGATGCGCTCTTGAACATGGAACAGCAAGCAAAAACTGAAATGCAGCATGGCCGAACATGCATGTGAAGCGCTCTGACGAGCAGCTGTTAGTAACTGTTAGTACGACATCGGCAATACTGGACTGCTTTTTTCTGCCAGAAGTTGAGGTCCACGTTTGTAGGAGAGCAGACTCCAGCAAGACGTGGACACCGGGCGAGGCTCTCTGGAGATTTCTGGAGCATCCCAAGCGTTTGTGGCAACTAGCGGTTGGAGAGGATGACTGCGACTCTCTAGCCCCAAAGCGCCCGCAACGTATAACCGGCTTGACCATGCCCCATGAGCGAGCATTGTGGTCAGAAACATTATCAGCCGCAGTAAGGTACATGATCTGGGCGGCGCCGTGATACATTCTTGCGCTGTGAAACGGACTGGTGCCCCTCTGTGTAAGGGAGGCTTTCCAAGCTGATGCGACAAGCATAGCATCCACAAAGTAGCAACCACGTGTAACCAAGATGTATCCATCACAGCAGTCCGATGTTGCAAACGCACATAGGATTCATAATACATGGCTTCGGCTCCTGGTTGCTTCTCCATGAGGAAGCGACTGCGAACATTTAGACAACTAGGGTGTAGCGGAAATGCAGGGCAATGACACGCACCAGTGGAGGGCCACGTTTGTTTCAGCTCATCTGGTATACATCCAGTACATCCAGGGCACGCCCTGTGCCTGCGTGCCTTGCAGCTGCCATGACAATGACACCTTTGGTGCCATCGGAAAATCAACAGAAAAGGTGAGTAAAGGGTATGACATCCTGGCTGCTGTTGTTCTCTCGTTCATTAACCGTGCACGAAGGTCAACTTGCATATGCAGCTCGGATTGAACGGTGGGGGCAGAGCGCCGTGAGAGCGCCTTAAGCCTTAAATTTTAGGCGGTGGTAAACTTCCACGTCTGGTGACAGGACAGCTCCTGCAGAACGGGCTCACGCTCCTGACTCCTGCTTCATCCGCCATGGAATCAGTTGCATGGAGCATGCAGCAGTGATGATTGCACCAAGCTCCAGAGCACGGAATAAATTTGCATGCGATGGCAGCTTCTGCAAGAAAGGCACTCATCTTGTGAAATCTTGTGTACAGACTCAACTGGACTATGTACCCTGAGTGCAGATTGTCTGGATGTCATCGCAGCTTGTCAAACACTAAAGGGCCACGGTCGGCCAAAAAAGCAATTCTCGAAAGACAGGTCTGCCTGCTTCAGTTGGTATTCACCCAGTTGATGAACCTTGAAACAAGGTGGACCCCCGTCCCCGTGCAGTTGACGCCGACAAGACACCAGCTTGGGAAAGCACTTTCCATCTTTCCAGTAGCTTTTGCGGCCTGTGCCCTGAGCAAACGAGCATTCGACGCCCGGGACACTTGCCACTCCAAAAGCCAACGAGAGGCGCATGCATTGCAGGGTTGAATAAGTTCATGTGGGAACGGGGCCTTAGACGTGGTGACCACGCCCATCCCGTGCTGCTTTCCATGGATCTCGGCACGACACTTATGGAAACGGGACAGAGAGAGGGTGGGGACAGAGAGAAAGGGGGAGAGAGTCTTCAATGCCCCGCAGGAGATACTTGTGGTAAGTTCACAAAGCCATGTCGTAGCAATTGCAACGAGGCTGCTCCAGACGACATATCAAAGTGTTTTCGTTTAAGTTAAGGCAGAGGAACCCACGACGTTTTGTGGGCATGCGTCCAGTCCAAAAAGCAGATATTGCAAGAGTGCATGTCTCCCGAGGGTCTGTTAACAGAGTTGCGAATACAGACACGCACGTAAGTCCAAAGCCCAAGGGTCTAGTTCGCTAGCAGCTGCACTGAGGGACAAGCCCACTGGCCCTCGTAGGTACGACCGTCCTGGTTTGCAGACGATGACGCATTCATAGAAGAGAGGCTTTCCACGGCAGCGGGGCTCTAACACGCAGTCAAGCGGGCGATGAGGTGTCTGAGTCTTTGGCCGGCCATGTCAAGGTGCCCTCGCCTTCCTGCAAGTTTCAGAGCACATGAGCACATGCTACGGCTACGGCTCCACGTCAGTCGTATCTCGCCCCGGCCTTCTTGCCGCGGCTGAAATCGCCCTGGAAAGACATGCGATCGTAGCCGTACCATGCTGAGAGCTCATAATGCCCTGCACCGAATTGGACGTGTCTGGCCTCGAAGATGCGACCGTCCGGCCATCGCATTGTGCCAGGACCGTGCCTTGGACATGAACTGAGTCATAAGCCATTAAACCATCGCAAACCTGAAATGTAAGCTGCCGGCATCTGATTTTCTACCCACTCACCATTATACTGACGGCCGTCCGCCCAGACGTAGCGACCTCGAGGCCGTGACTGATCGGCGATCAGTGGAACTGCAAACAAGCCTGCCCCTGAACTGAAATCCAGCCTTCCCCGTGCATGTCGTTGTTGAGGAAGCTTCCCTGGAATTTGCCGAAGCATGCCGAGGCAAACTGGACTGAGTCTGCAGCAGTCTAGTCACGATGCCTCGTACATGCAGCCTTCGCCCCACATGAACTTGCCATGGCCATGTTTCCTGCAGCTGGTGGACATCCACGAACCACAAGATTTCTGGAGCAATAGCAGGTCCTGCCATCTTTGAAAGAGCCGGTGAACACAGAGCCATCGCCCCATCTTTCAATACCCTGGCCGTCCTTCCAAGACGCATGGCTTAGGCTGGGCATGATGGTTGACTGAAGCTTGGTCCGTTTTTCTTGATAGACTTCGTCACCGCGTTCCTACTGAGAGCAAACAACCACGAAGCTTCGTGGCACAGTCTATGAACCTTCGATCGGGCACCGCTGATCCGATGCCGTACGAGAGGCGGGAGGCTTGCAACTTTGGAGTCTGGCATCCTACTGAAGTGCTGCTACGCGTTCAGGATCCCAGCTACTCGGTTCAGTGGACCACAGTGATTGTGGGCTCAACCTCTACTCATAATGGCTTTGATGCCTGCCTGCAGGTCATTCAACCAGTCGCCTTCATAGGTGGAGGCCTGTGCCCGAAAAAGTGTTCAACAACTTTCCGGTCTTCAGGGAACTGCATAGCTAAGAAACCTTTGTGGCTGCGCTTCGGTACGGCAGCTCTGCAGGACAAGCATTGCAACTGCCTTGCCTCCGCCAATGTGCCGATGCCGTCGCAGATCAGTCTGCCCTTTCCGTCCTTGGCATCCTGAGCGGCAATTTGCGTGTTCTCCGGCTTGAAAACCCCAGTTCTAAGCGCCCGAACTGTGTGAAGGCTACGAGCCGTCACTAAGCAAAGATAGCAAAATAACACCTACCCATGAGGGCACCTCCTTGTACTCACCTTCGTAGATGGCTCCGTTTGCGTACGTGTACCTGCCGGACGGCACACGGCAGATAAAGATAGAAGTTAAGATCCGATAGCACCGACGGCCGCCGGCTCACTTTGCCACACCGTGCTTTTTTCCATTTTTGAACTGGCCCTCATAGACGGCGCCGTCTGGCATCGTCAGCGTGCCCTCGAGCACAATGCATTGCAGAAGACTCAAGAGCTGCCGACAAAAGAAGTTAAGAATTCTGTCTGCGACCTCCCCATTGAAAACACCATCTCGGCACTGTCCGTTGTAGACCTGATGTGCACGGCCACGGCAAGCGGTGCAGTTGCCTATTCTGACCGATGTTTAAGGACCAAGCCGAGCCATCATCTAAAGTGATGCGAACATCCTGTGAGTGCCAGAGTACGACTATGACAGAGCGGGTCTTGCGGTTTTTCGGACCTCCAGGACGGAGCCATCAGTGTCCTCCAGTGGTGCTGATGCAACACACTTCAATGCGTCATCACTGCAGCATCGCAGGCCTGCGGAAGTCCTGTTGTTTTTTCATCCGGGCGTCCTCGGAATGCGAACGGCCGAGATGACTGAACACCCCTCTCCAGGCACCCTTACTTTCTGGTTCGTAGAAAAAAAGGGTGGCACATCTTCGACAACAGTCACGCTGTCAAGGTTTTACTGTGTTACGTGAGTCAGCTCTGGGCACAACCTCCGTGTCCGTTACTTTCGTCTAAATGCCCGTCGGGCTGCGTATGCTCGGGACCTCAAGCTGCTTTGCCGCCGCTGCCTGACACGTTTGACGATGCCAATGCGTTACACTACCGTTACGCCCACTTTGGACATCTTTGGACATTTCGAGCTCGGCCTTGGGCAGCGAGCTGGCAGCTGCCCCCGACGACGCCGACACACCGGGCCCTCGCTGGACGCCTGCCTGATCCTGCACCGTCAAAGACAGACCCAGAGGCCAAAGCAAGCGAAAGGAGCATCCAGGGACAGTCCTGTGCCCCAGGGGTGAGGTTCACCTTAAAACTTACGACGATAAACTTGAAATGGATGCTGCGACTAAATGGCTCCAAAGGGCGACAGGTTGCTTGTCACCGAAGTTGCATCTTGCCGACTGCACGAGGGCGGACTCTCACGCTTGGGTTGCTCTCTCATGACATATCTCACCGTGCCTCGCCAGAACAGTTACACGCGCCCATTCTTCAGGGCACCTTGGTCAGCAAACGCAGCCACAAGCCTGGCAGCTGCAAGAATCATATTCATTTTCGCAAGAGCATAAGGCATGAGCCGTTTCAGCTCGACAGAGGCTACAACGCACAAGAGTGGCGAGCCGAAACGAATATCAAATCCAACTTCAGCTATCCCTCCTGCGCACAGCCAGTATGCGACTAGCAGATCTTCAAACGCTACAGCAAGCACTCCAACATGTTCCCTGAGAGCACAAAGAACGGGAATGCTGCAACCTCTCTATGATGGCACTGCCAGTGTTTGGCAGAACTCGCCATACAAATCCGTGAAACTGCAACCGCTGACTGGCCAGTTCTGGGCTTGCGCTTCCATTTCGGACACACGAGCCCGCCTTTGCTGGCTCTGCAGCAGCTACAGCAGGCGTCCAATGATCCATCAACCGCATGCAATCTCCACGCACAGCCTGTCCTGAAACAACAGCATGACTGCTGCCAACATGGCCGCCACTGCAAATGGAATTGACGCATATATTTAAATATTTACGCCGCCAGGACCGCCATACCCGCATCGCCATCGAGGACCTGCCCACGGGAATGCCGCTTGGCCGATCTCGGCCGACTCCGTGCGTGACCGCAGAAATGCAACGAGAAATTCACACCTCGGAATCGTCATTGTCATCCGCTTCCTCCTCTTCCTCCTCCTCCTCGGCGACGGGTATGTCGTGCTGACTGCAACAGCCGGGATACATCTGATTCTGAGGATATGACATACTCTGAGGAATCCTTAGCCACAGCACAAGTATGCACTCCTCTGCGGCATTCCCCCGAATTGAAACTTGCATATGCCTTGACTCTGCATCTACAAGCAGAAGCTGGGAAACTCCTGGGAGTAGTCCGGAACTGCATACTAGACTCAGACCAGTCGAAACTGCTTCCACCGCATCCCAGCTCCCTGAAACACCATTAATGCGACTCTGCCTCCGATCATTAGGTTCGCAGAGCCGAAGCGAGCTACGAAGATCCATCAAATTACGCGCTAAGCCCAAACAGCCAAGACACCCATATGTCCGACAGGTTCAGAGCCGGGACCAAACTCCTTGACAGCGGAACTTGAAATCATCTCAGGATTTGAAACGTCGCGCCCAGCGAAGCAAGTGAGGAAGTGGCGGGCGCCGACGCGAAGGCCGCAACATCGCGGCCTTGCAAAACTCGTGCCGCACAGCCCAAGCCGACGACGGAGGAAGGGAACAGGGGAGCTTAATGTCGATGAACACTTTTGCTGACCTACAGCTTTCTTCATGGTCAATCACTTCTCAGCGCCGTGCTGCGAGCGGCTCTGGCGAGGACCACACGGAAGGCAAAGAAACAGCCTGCATTGCGCGGTAGAGATGCCCCAGAGTGCCACAGTCCAGAACTCCGCAACTTGGCCTTTTGGTGCAAGCGCCCTGCGCAAGGATCTTTGCCTGGCTGCACCTGCTGAAACGACAGGGCCCGAACCGAGAGGCGGAGAGCTGCATACGATTCCAGTCTTCCGGAGCCTTACTCGGGTTACACGGGTGATCTTCTTTCAGCTTGATGTGGAAGCGCCGAACGAGCTCGCGAAGCCTGGGCAGAGCTTGGCTTGTAAATTGCTGCCACCTCGTCAAACTCGGGAACCGGCGCTGCATTTTCTTGCTCCAGGCGTTGCACCTGGAGCCCAGCCATATGGTAGCGTTTGTTTCTGTTCATGCTAAGGGCAAATGGATTATCTGAGCCTTGTCCGGCTGCCCGCCGCCTGATAGGCTTGCTTTTACAGTGAAGACAAGTTGACGACGACCGCAACATGATGCAACATGCACTTCAAGCTTGGGCTCTGTTTGATGACCTTTGGTGTTCCAGCATTGAAACCTTTACTTGCGCAGTCTCTGCTGAGGGCATCGCGGCTTCCGGCTCGTTCCGTTTCTTCTCAGCACAGGGCGATGTGCCACAGAAGCTGGCGAGACTGATGCTGCAACCAGCCGCTTTCATCAAAGTTGCCAAGTGCCCGGCCGCCACCGTTCCCAATCTCCGTCCCTCCCGTCCAAGGCCTTGTCGATCCAACTCAGAGACTCAGAGTTCTCACCGAGAGAAACGGTCTACGGATGAGCGTGCGTTCCCAGCACAATCTAACTAGTAGCGACATGACTCAAGCCTCTTCAACTTCCAAGATGTTCCATGCTCCTAGACCGAACTGTCAGCCTGTTTACCAAGGTTATCGCATCTGCGATTGTTTGGAAACTTTTCACAATAGGGTTGACATCTGCGTGGAATGAGACAGGAACCACCTCGTTTCGGCAACCTCTGCTGACAAAGCCATGCGAAAGATAGTCTTAGCTTGCAGTACCGAAACAACTTCATTAAGTTGTAAAGCCATACAAGCCTTGTCACACTATATGATTGTATAGCATCAAACACTGCTTTTGTTCGAAATCTGTCAGGTTTCTACCTATACATATTGCATGCGTAGTTTGAGGGGCTGGGCTTTGCCAGTTGTAGCTTGACTTTTTGAGTATACTATTCGGTGCAGAACCGGGGTTCAATGCTCAGCGAGGCAACTCGAAGCTCAAGCAGCAATGACAGCCTGACACAAACTGACCCTGAGCGGCTTCGACTCTGCAGGCCTCCTCACTGCATCAACAGCAATCTCTGCGGCACTGGCCTGTCAAGAATCGCGAAGTCGAGAAGAGACAGATGCCGCCGAAAAACTCCCACCGCTGTCGACCTGCCTTGAGGTCCAGGGCCTCGGTGACGGGACTGTGAGATTCACAGGTTGTTGTTTGTGCGATGAGGTTCGACCCCCTCACGAGGACTTTGCGGGTTTCTTGTCGAGCAAGGTCGCCTTGTAGCTGGCCTGGCCCACGCCGCTCCGCACACATCGCCCCCTCAAATCGGAGACTTGGGAGCCGAGCCTTGATCTCTTGTAAGATCGGCCCAAAAAACTGATCGGTGCCTGGACAACGCGCATCGAGTCCACAAACAGCGAGCTCGCTTTGCGGGGGACGCATCTGAAGTCCGCACGCATGATTTCCGCGAAGATGCCGGCCTCTCCTGCACCGTCTAAATCTGCGCACTGCCAGCTGCAGACTGGAGACAAGGCTTCTGCAAGTCCTGTCGTGACAGGCGCTCTGGAGGCAACAGCTCCTGTCAACTTCTTTGGACCACGTTGGGTCAAAGAGACTTTGTTGCAGGTCGTTGCACAAGCAAGGATAAGATAGTCAGTCCGACTTGAGTTGACAACACTGACCCCAGGAAGCCTCCGCCAGCACCCGCCTGAGACGCGTGTTCAAGGACGATGGCGAACCACGGGTTGAACTCTTCCTGCCTGCACTTTGTCGCACCGCCCAAGCGCACCTCCAGGCTCAAGGCGCATCTTAAGCTCCAAGTCGAAGCTCAGCTCGCAGCAAGGTAGGCCTGCAGAGCTGGATCTCCGAGGGGGCATCCCACTCGGCATGCTCTCGTTGTGGGCTTGAGCAGCAGCCGCGCAGTGTGCAACCCCACGGCCGCGGCCCACCAGGCTTCCTGCCGCATCCCACCACATCTCGCAAGGCAGGTTCAAGCGATTCAAGTGCCGCGGTGCCACCCTGCCTATGCTTCGGCCGCCAGGGCTCTGTCTCGAGTCCCGCATCTCGACGGCTCCAGTTCGCAGAGCAGACATAGCTGCAGCGAAGCCCTGGCGCGAGAAAGACTTCTCAAGGCGCTCAAGGCGATGAGGGACCCACCTCCGAGGAAAGCCTGGAGGATTTCGTGGGAACTGCGGTCTGCGGTCGCCTCTCGGGCTTTTGTCCCACTTCCGTTGGATCTGCAATGAACGGCTGGCCTGGCTCCAGCGTGCGGCTGGGACGCGGCGATTCCGGATGTGTCGGACACCGTTGCTTCGGCAGCCTGCAAACGATACAGGGCACGCGAGCAGCTTCAGATGCGGCCCCAGCCTTTGCGCCACGGCGTATGATGCAAGCAACCCCGGCTGCTGAACTGGGTCGTGGCACAGGCCGATGGAGTGTCAGAGTCGTCCCAAATCGCAGCGACCTTGGAAGACGAAGGCAAGCCGCAGAGTCTCAGCAAACACGTGGGCCGCAGAGTGTCCGACGCTGCTTGCAACTGGGAGGTTCGCATGCAACTCAGGGAGGACCTGCCTTGGGAGGCTACGTGTCCTCTGTGGTTCGAGAGCGGCTGCCAGTGTGCATACCAGGAGCTTCCCTTGCTGCGAAGGCCAGGAGCGAGAACTGGCTGGCCCGATGGTGCCATGGCATTTCCCGATCCTTCGTCTCGACTTGCAAACCCTTTACAACATCGGTCATATAGGGTCACGTTTCTATAGCGGCAGCGTGCTTTGCGCGGCCTATGTCGACTGGCACAGGTTCACTGAGTGTTTAACCGTTCGCGCACAGCAGGGCACTGCAGGTCGCATGCAAAGACTGCCAACGAGCACAAGCCTGCTGGACGACCCTTTTTGCACACAGCTCACACAGCTCCCCGCTGTAAGCCTCCACCCCTGGAATCAAAGGATTCCGCCCAGGACAGACGGCTGATGCCTGAGTCCTAAGTGACCTGCCATGACGCGGTCATTGGCGCTGTCATCTGCTGTGCATCACCCACCTAAAGTACCTAAAGCTTCTGATCCAAAAGCTCTAGCCGCACCTATGATAAGCACATATAAGAACACTATCGATTATGCCCAAAGCCAGCAAAGCTGACAGGGCCGAGTTTGTGTTGAGCTTCCACTCCCACATCGACGCGTGCGCTCACGTCAAGCGGGCAGCCTTTGAGCTTGCATTGCCCCCACTCGCCTAAAGCAGCGAGGCTAAGACCGACGATGCTTGACACGGGCCTCATGGCAACATGTCTGAAACGCACATGCTCAAATGCTTCTCCGAGGAGCCATTGGAGTAGCGGGCTGGCGGCCACCCGCGACCTTCATCAACTCAAAAGAGTTCGCAGGATCTTCAGCAACATGTCAAGGTCAAGCTGAGAAGGAGGCCGTTCCTGGTCGCTTTCGTGCAAAGGGATTGCTGGGTGCACTTGGTGCGCTAGGTGCGCTGGACGCGCTGGATGCGGCGGCACGGTGGGATGTTGACATGGCGGCCGAAGTGCGAAGCACCTTCGAGACCAAGCTACCATTTCGAGTTCTACAATAACACGTGCTCGTCTGCTTCTGATCATCACGGCCTCGCCCTCTCCAGCTCCTGTCTGCAGTCTTTCCGGACTTCGGCTGCCTGTAGGCGTTTGCTCCGACCTGGCCAGCACCGCCACAGCCCGGCATCATGATAGCAACATGCAAAGGCAACGGGCCTCTCAGCCCCTTGCTGGCCTTCCGCACATTGCAAGGCGCAGAAGGTACACCAACAAAACCCGACCAGGTCATACAGATGTGTGCTGCATGTTCGGTGACAGCCTGTGTCTTCGAACTCTCCGGGCTTGAAAAGCGGAGGAAGCTCAACCCTCGGCACTGACCTTACATGGATCTAAGCTTCACACTTCGCAAACTTCTCTGAGGTCTTGCCCATAATTCAATCAATATGCCAGATCGCACGACCCACCAAGGACAGCGCGCTGCAGGTCGTAGCAAAGCCGCAATCTCATCTGCAAGCTTGTGTTGCTTGGCCTTCTCGGCAAGAGTGCGAGCCATCTCCAGGACCTCGAAGCTTGACACAACTTTGCGATCTTCTCGGTCATGACGAGCTGGCGCCGTGCAGGGCCTTCGAGGTGCCTTCCATCTTCGCGAGGTATTTCCTCACGAGGCAGCGACGGCCCGGAGACCACTAGGGCAACACAATGAAAGCACAAGAAGGCAAGTGCCCAGCCCTGCGACATGATGAGCTCCTCAGCAGAATGTTCTTGATATTGCGCTTGATGTCAGTCGTGCAGGCTTTCTCTGTGCCTATACGGCCTGGGTGCCTCGCGCTCCACTTCGTCGGATTTGGCGAGCTGCGTAAACAGCTTCAGCACCCGACTCTTGCATCTCTTCTCCAAGGCATCAGCCTGCGCAGTGAAACCCGCGGTCGGACAGTCGTGCCGCTTTCTGCGTGCTCGTCCCAAAGGCTTTTTCTCTCACGGAACCTCCTGTTGCTGCTGCTCGCTGAGCATATCCATCTTAAGCATGTCCTCGATTACGAACGGAGGGCATCTTCGATGGCAACCCGCGACTCTCCCGGCCACCGTTCGGTCCTGGAAGTGCCTGAGAAGCAGCTGCTCGCGGAATGCGGCCTCGATTTGCTCGCCGGCGGCAGGGAAGGATCCCATAGTCATCCGCCAAGGCAGTCGGCGCGGAGTGACGGTTCCTCTCACGCTGACTCGCCTGTGTCTCTCGGCCCGGGCCCTCCGTTCTCTGAACCCCGGTCCTCCCACGCCGAAGAAGGGCATCAGACAGGGCTTTTCGTCTTCACCATCAGCCTACGGTCACGGTGCCAAGTCTCCCTGAAACGCTACAGGTCAAAGATGGTCAAAGTCACGCCCGTGCAAAGCTTTCCGTCGGTGCCTGTTGAGGTCTGGGCCAAGGCTCCCTGTTCTCCAAGAGCTCCACTACACAAAGGCTGCAAGCTGGCGCATCGACCACCCACAGCGGCACCTTCATGTGCATGGAGACAAGAGCACATGCTTTACCTTGCTGCGTCTCTAAAGTCTGCTCTGGATGGGGTTGAGGATCGGCAAAATGAGGGGGAGGAGGAGGAGGACCCTGAATATCGGAGGGTAAAGTGATCGCGTTCGGCGGTGATGGTTCTGACGACGATCATGATCATCATCATCATCATCATCATCATCGTCATCATCGTCATCATCGTCATCATCATCATCACTATCATGGGACTCACAGAGAGGAGGTTGCTCCTGTTTTGACAGCTCAGGCATGGCGGGCGGACAGTACCGGCAGCTTGGGTGGTTGTCTGCATTCTCATTTTTAGGTATAGTAGCCCCGGCTGCCCCGCCTCGTCTGCCAAGGACAGGACCGGCGTCCACTCCGCATTCAGTCCATTTCCACCCCAGGAGCCAGCACCAATCCCGAGAAGCGCGCGCAGCACCCCGGAAGTGTCTGGCAGGCGGAGAATGCGGCATGATGCACCAATTTCACGAAATGTCCACGCACCTGCTGCTTTCAGGGCAGGGCTATGTATGAAGCGACAGGCCAGCAGCACCAAGCGTCAAAGGGACGAAATCCGTGGAGATTCCGATCCAGCGCAGGCGAGCCCCTTCGCTTAGAGGCAAAAGTCCACCTGCCCTCTCCATCCTGGCGACAGGCCGCGACAGACCCTTACATTCTTTGCCAACATGCAGATAGGGTCAGCCTGGCTTTCACGTCCAGCAGTCGGAAATCCAGTTCTTCGTCCTGGGGTCTGCACCCGCTGGCAAGCCCAAACCTCGAAGCGCCTGGGAAACTCCTCCCAATTGCGAGTCCTCGTCTGTTCCGGGTGGTCGGGTGACCACCAGCAGCATCCTGCCTCGCGCTGCGAGGGCGACGCCGGGGCCTGGCCTCGGCCCCACACCGAGCGGCCGGAAGTCTTCGACAGTGACGTCTGTGTCAGCGGATGTCAGCGGACGTCTGTCTACTCTTTGGACCGTATGCTCCATTTAGAAGCGCTTCTTCAACGAGCATAGACACTGACACGGTAAACCTGCAGGAACTACTGCACGAAAGATTTCACTGTCTGTCTTAGGATATGCAAACCTTGGTGACTCGAAGCTGAGACCGCCGCAAGCTGCGCATGCCCAACGGAAGACCACTGAAGCTGAACCTCGTTGCAACACTCAGAGGCTCACTCACCACTGTCACCACCCACTCCCAGTCATGCAAGGCGTTCCCCGACACGAGGCACACCAGTGGTTCATGGACGTCTCTTGCATGAAGCAGCTAGATATTCCGAACTCCGGGACATCATGCATCATGGCAAGTAAAACAAGCTCCGCCATGAACTGCATTTCAGTGACCTCTCTTGTAATGGTTCAAGAGACCGAGGCAACAGGAAATCACACATTGCAGGAACAACCACAGTCTCGCCGTTTTGTACAGCCCCACAGCTCATGTCCATGAAGGAGAAGCATCACTCTCGCTCAGGGCGTCGTTGGGTCATTCCGTCAGCTACCTGTCTTACTCTCTCCGCCCCCTCCGCGAATGCTTTCGGGAGCCCTTTTGGTTCTTGTTCTTTGCTCTGAGCAGAATCCCCCAACCAGAACATCAACCGAAAACCAGTAGGTTTGCTGCGCTCAGCCACCAACACACCAAAAGCACCGGGCATGACCGGATGCACAGTCCCCATTCTTGTCGCGATTTTTGGCTGCTTCGCTTTCCTTGACTGTGCGGTGGAATCCCCGGGCACAGCCTCGATCCTGAGCAGCAATCTTCCGCCCAACCAGTCCCCCCACCGCTGGAGCTCTGCTCTTCAAACAAGTCTGCGCGTTCAAGTCTCCTCCCCCACAAGCAGCAAGAGATTCAGCCATCAAGAAACTAGGCAGCGTGCAGTCGGAGCAATCGTGATGAAGTGATGACCTAGCGCTCTGTCTCGTGCTACCATTGCTTCTCCCCACAGGTTTTGAAGACCCCCGCCGCCACGAAATCCTCGCCACAGGCAAGGGCTTCGGGGTTCTCGTGAGAGATCGGTGCGGAGAAGAGCGCCTACCGTCACACACCATCAGATGGCTCGTAGCCCTGGAGCTCAAAGAGCCGAAGGCCTTCTCCCAGCGATGCGTCGGGCGTATCAACACGCGAGACCTCTGAAGAAATGGCACACACTCGGCGCTGACTGGATGTTTCTGGAGTCAAGAGCCTATGGCCCGGACCCCCCTGCTGCAGTGCTTCGTGCAGCTAGGCACAAGGCACCTGGCACAGAAATGCCTCATGAAGTTCTCTTTGCAGTTCATGAGCAAACCCGATCAGGTGCACCTTCCGACATTGCGGCCATCTGAACGCCATCGTAGTCTTGAAGGCCCTGGCGCTAAGCTGCTCATCGGGCATTACACAGCAACGCTTCAGACTCGCCGGCTGCTCCACCGGCTTCTCATCCCCCGACCGGCACACCTTTGGCATATGGACAACCCATGACAACCCATGGACTCATGGATGGAAAAACAGCGTGCAACTCTTGGGCCTCGAGGCGGAGAAGATCCGGATAGCTTGCTACGTGACCGAAGCCCTGGGCGTGAGCAGCAAAGCAATGGCAAAGCATCATCTCTTCCATCATCTCCCACTCTTGGAAGCGATGCAGGCTACTCAAGTCTGAGCATTCCACATTCCACGCCAGGAAGCGTGGATGGCTGGGCACGCGAGCTGTCCCCTTGCATATCTGCAAATAACAAGCAATCATCGCAGCTGGCCCGGATGGTGTGTCAGTCTGATGAAGAACGCCTCCAGCTGCTGCCATGCACCATCCAGGGTTGCCTGCCGTGCGGGGCCACAAAAACTCGTACCTTGGACACCACGCTGCCGGCCTTGAGCTGCTCTTCTGTTTCCTCTGCTTCCCTCACATCCTGTAGTGGAGCAGACATCAGACGAGCGCGCGTGGTCTATTTTAAGTCCGGGCATTGATGTCCTCTGAGGTTACGTCGGGCTCTCCTGCCTCAAAGGCAAGTTGCCTGCACATGCCTGCACGCCCGTCTCACTGTGCATGCTGCGGCCTTCTCAGAGTCGAGACTGTCCACAGCCATCAGCCTGCCAAAAATGCAACATCCACGATCCGCGTCGTGCCGCAGGGACCCAGACCGACTCATGCCTCCAATTCAGCTGTCCAGGCCCCGCCCAGATGCTGAAGTTTTCATTAACGACTAAGCGGCTGAACCACGGCGGCCGCGGCCATCATGCACCCAATTGCCGCTTGGCCACTGCGCTTCGGCACTGCACACAGATCAGAACGGATGTTTTCTGTTGCTGCATTCGTGGATCCCGGCAACTGCTTCAATCTGCCGACTTCGTTGAATTCGTGGAGCAGAGCTCTCCAATAATTGTCTGTAATCATGCACTGCGTCGCCATGCTTGCGCTGCGAGATGCAGCAGGTGGGCATCCGACCTGTCCAAACTGGAAGTGATGGACAGTGCTCGCAACACGAAGTCCACACTGAGCCCCCGTCTCGCTTCCCGATGGCATCGAGATCCATTGCATCTGCATCCCTGCCTCCCTGCACCAACAGCTATTGCTTCAAATCAGTGCGCCTGGCAGCTGTTCCTCTAAAGAACCACGAACGCAACTCTGCTGAACTCACGACATGATGGGCTGACAAAAACCGTCGCTGCTAGAGCCAGAACTTGCATCATGGCTTCTTGTCAGCACTGCAACTGTTCCGGCTGACGCCGTCGGTGACTGGTTCAGTGGAGCTTTCGACAACTCGCCTCTTTTTTGAGAACTGGTTCTTTCCGCGTACAAACACTTCAGGTCTGCGCGGGTCCAGCCAAAACCGCACACCTTCATGTCTACCTCCGAGCCTGCAGCAAGCAAAGCTCACCGAAAGGATTTTGCTCACAAGACGGCGCGGGTTGCCGGGCGACGCGGGTTGCCGGGCGTCTAGGTGTCTGGCCATATGTGTACAGATGGGAGATACCTCGCTTTTGCTGTCGCAGCTCAGAACGCGAAGCATTAGGCTGATGAGGCTGAGGCTGCCACCAGAATGTCCATCTTCCTAGGAGCGGAAGCCCTGAAGCAAGGCATACATTGGCATGCATGAAGCTTGATTGACCTGCACCTCGAAATTCAAGCCATGAAGGCTCATTGCATGGCAGTGCTGGTTGTGCGCTCCGTCCGAGACATGCAAATGACCGCTGCACCGAGCCTAATCTTCTTCTTCTGCAGATGCTTCAAAATGCCCACTCAAACCACACTGCTCACTACTGTACGGGTGATCAAGCAGGAGATGATAAACTTCGATCTGGAGACCCTATGTACTCCATAAACTCGTTGCGGGTGCCCTTCTTCTATTTCCTGGCCTTGCCCTTGCCAGCACGGTTCCTCCGCATGCCGCCAGGGCGTGGAGGTCGGCGGGCATCACCAAAGGTCTCCCTCAGCAGAGGTTGCTCGCTAGCTTGCAAATCGCAGGTTTGCTTGATTTGCATCTGGCCTGTCCATGCTGCGCATCTTGGCCACATCAGCCTGTCCAAGATTGCATCCATCATGCAGTGGATGGTCCAGGCAATTCACCACCCTTGCGCTATGTGCGCAGGTGCAAAATGAGCGAAGATGGCTTGATCACAGATGGCAAGCATCTCTCTCTAAGCCGGCGTCGGGGATCTCAATTTTCTGCCACCGCCAACTCCGAAAGTGCGAAAGAGAGCAGCAGGCAACGCATTAAACTTAGATGGCTCATTCCCTGTCACATTTACTTATCCTGGAAGGCGGCGATGTTCGGACAATAACTTGCACATATCTGTACCTGTACCGTACATGGTACTGGTACATGAGCTACTCAGCTACTCGCAAACAACTCACTTCACAGCCAGCAGAATCTCTTTGTCCTGCAGAGATGCATCACTCGTCTTCAACCACCCAAGAATTATCGAAATCGCCATAATCTTTCCAACACTAAATACGATTTCAGGCCGGGAACAACCCGAACGTCCAAAATGCGTGAAATTTCAACCTCTCAATTCATGTGTACAGCCTTTACCCCAGTACCAGTGATATGTTTCATCTTGAAGTTATCATGTTAAAATAACTACTGCCTTTACCCCAGTACCAGTGATACTTGACATTATCATGTTTAAATAACTACTACAACAATCCGGCTTGTTACATACAATGGTGCAGCACGAGAGGTTTCCACGGAGTTCCTTCTGCAGCTCCTCTGACGCGTGCCACAGCCTTTCTCGATCAAGGAGCGAGTACACTGAAGGTGTGGACGCAGGGTGACGCAAGACGCAGAGCGACCCAGGGTCGCGGCGCAACGTGGCCGCCTTCAGCAACCGCTTCCATTACCACCTGACAGTTTTGCTGCACGTCAGGAAATATTTGGCAATGACGCTGCTTTGCGTGCCTCCTTATCGCTCTTCAGGCAGTCATGTGCAAACACCAGGGCCTGCATTCGAGCTCGTGAAGGCACTCACAAGCCGATGCGCGAATCTCCTTCCAACGAGCAAAAAAGCTGCTAACGGCTTTGCCACTCCTTGCCATTTTGCCGCACAGCTGCCAGAACCACCTGCTGCCAAGACATGCCAAGACCATATGCTGACGACTAAACACGACTTGCGGTCAGCTTTTGTGATCGCCCTGTTGCGACTCAGCATGAACATAGACTGTCCACCTCTCTGTCTTTGCGAAGCTCTTCCGGTGCAAAAACGAGGACCTGTGCAGGCGCATGATCGGGGACAGCGAACACACACCCTGGGTCTGCCAGGGCGGCATGCTATTTCTTGATCGCAGTCCTTGCCATTCTGTTTCACTGCGGCCAAGACAATCTCCTGGCGACAGCCGGACAGCAAAACCCACAAGCAGCCAATGCGTGTTCAATGCTCGGGCCCTTGCCCGATCCGCTCTCATGTGCTGTGAAGCTGATCGAAGTGCGTAACCATCGACCTTCCCCGCAACTCCCCCTGCGCTGCACATTCCACTTACGAGCCTCAGCCCATCACGCTTGTCAGAGCAAGAGCCACACACACACACACCGTGAACGCGCTTGACTTGCCCTTCTAGGCTGATTCGGCTAAACTCAGCAGGCTGCTTACAGTATGTCCTTCTGACTGAACTTCTCATCGCCCGTTGTTGAAGAAATCTTTCTGTCCCTTCACGGCATGGTTGCTCGTGCGGCGATCGCAGCTAGCCATTTTCCTGGTGCTCTTGGACTGCTTAGAAGCTCAGCATCGATCATGCTAGTAGGCCCAGATCACGAGATGTTCACCCTGAACTCTGCTTGGGATGGGAAGTGCTGTCTCGCCTGCTGCTCCTCAAACGCTTCGTCACACCAGCTTCTGCCTAGCCACCTCTACTTCAGTCCTGCTAAGGGCGATTCTGCGGGGTTTTCCATTTCTCTACTCACTTCTCAACATCTGATCTGACCGACTCCCTCCCTGCCTTCACCGCATTCAGCAAGGCGTAGCGCTCAGAAGCGAGCGCCGCCTCCCTGACGTCGGGATCGCCCTTCAGATCCTCAGGCTCGCTTGCACAGGAAATGCATCACATGCAGAGAGAATCGAAAGCAAATCCATAGGCTAACAGGCCTGTAAGGCAGAAAACGAAAACAAGTGTGGAAACCAACAAGTCAACACGTCGGGCGTGATATACAAACTGTGCCGGGGCAAAGCTGTCGATCAGCTCCACGGCACCAGGCGCAACAAGGGCAGTGAACTAGGGGCCCAAAGGCAAGAAGAAATGATGCCCGTTACGACTATAAGCAAAGGGAGACCAATCGGTACGAGAAGCTCAGCATCCAAAGACCATAACCCCAAATGGAGACACTTCCAACTTCCACAATCGCTGCTGCTCATTGTTCATTGATGGTGCAACGCCGCACATGGTGCTGTGATGGCTGTGATGATACCTCGCATAATCCTTGGGTCTACCCTCGTGGATGTGGTATATGTGGTATCTTACGTAGCCACGGGACCTCGGCCACGTTTTGGAAGGCCTGCCAGGTCAAACATGCACCCAGGCTGCAGAGTGGGGTGTGGTGGGTGGCAGGCTGCCAGCCTTGACATTGCTCTCTACCGCGCGAAGTGCGACCATTTTGTTGGCACGGACCTTCAGGGCATAAAGATCCTCCGAATTCTTCAGCCGCCTTGCAAGCCTCGTCGGGCAGCAAACCCAGAGTGATGCCATCCTCTGCAACGGCCTGTGGTGTATGGAAGCTCGGTGAGCAGACTGCAAGGCATGTTCGGGACCTTACGACTCTGCCTGCAATGCAATGTCTGTCTCTCGCTGCATCCTTGGCATGTGCTCGTGTGCCCGAAGATAGCTGTAGCAATTGCAAGCTCATGTAACCTGTAACTAAGATCCTCACGCATCTGATGCATAGGACACAGCATGTCCATCCTGACATCAGACAGGGCATCAGCTGCAGCAATATGGCAGCGGCTCGCACTAGTGATGCAATGGCCGGCATGGGCACGTCTCCTGTTTGACGGCTGCTGTGACCACGTCCTTCGATTCGGAGGCGTCGACGTGACATGGCCGAGGCCGCGACAAGGCCCCGCCCGCGCCTTCTGCGCGCGCTGCGCCTCGCTGAGGTAGACCAGCGCATGGCCGTCTGCTCTTAGAGCCTCAGACGCCCCAAAAGCCGCGGACCGAAAAACGTGGCTCAGACACCACTCTCGCGGCGACTCTCGCGGTCTCGCGGTCGCTGCCTCTTTCACAACATCGGGATCTCGCAACAGCTCCTCGCTGATCATGGCCAGCGCATGCCTCCGAATGCCAGGCGGGAAGTTGACGAAGCTAAGTGCCTTCCAGTGTCGGCCTGTTTGTGGCAACTGCTGCAAGCACGATCTCCTTGTCCTTCCTGCGCTGGAGCGGATGCCGGTATGCGTCTGCTGGAGTCAACATGCCAAGACCCAGAGTCTCACGAGCCTCAGCTCAGTTGAAGCATAGCCCAGAGCTTGCCAGTTGCTCTGGACAGCTTCAAAAACCACAGCCTGGAAATGGAAATCCACAGAATAAGGCCGAGAACACACATGGCAACATGCGAGGCGCTGCTTGGCGACCTTGTCGTTCCGATACTTGTCGTGTGCAAAAAGCAAGGCATAGCCAGTGCTCCCAACGGCCTACGGCAATTGACAAACGTCCCTGGGCATGGGCCTTTCAATGCGACAAGCGACAAGGCCTGGGTCACGACTTCACGGTCAGCTCTCAGCTCCATGGATGCGTAGCTGAGCGTGTAGCCATCCTGCGCATCCCAACGCGCCTCAGACCCCCTGCTCCGATTTCAGAGATCGAGTTTTCATGGGCCTGCTGGACAGCCTCCAGCACAACGTCCTTGTCGGCCTGAGGATTGAGAGCATAGCCGTGGCCAAGCAGACCATTCTAGGCCAAGTTGCCCTGAGAGCAGGATCTGCAAAGACCATGGCATGGCCATCCTGTGCATCCACGCACGGGTTCTGCTATTGTGATGTCTAGTCTCAACACATCTCTAAACTCCATCTGAATCTTCCACAGCCCCCACTTGCATGGTCCTGTCGAACCGCTTCCACAACAACATCCTTCCGTGCCTGGCAAGCTGCACGATCAGCAGAGGCAATCTGGGAGAACCGAAAAACAGCTTCTCACACTTCTGCAAGCTCCTTCATTGCAGGCGATGCAAAGACCAAGGCATGGCCATCCTGGCGGCGGCACCAGCCCTTTCTCGACTTTTTGGACATGAGCACCATGAGATGGTCAAGAGCCATGATGATGCTGGGGCCACTTTGGCTCGGCGAGATCCGCCGAGGCCTTGGGAGTCTGAGGTCGGAATGGTCGAAGATCTTGAAAGGTGGCAGTTTATTGCGTTTCCTTGCACGCGTGCCAGGCGATATGAGAGTCATTCCATGCAGTCCGGACATCCGAAGGGCAGTCGATTTCACGGCAGTTCGAGCAATGCAGCGGAGAAATTGGGCCTTTGAGCGCCGAGTGAGCACTGTGCACCTGCATGCACCTGCTGGGCTTAACGGTCTTGGACAAGCTCGCATGCTGGACAGTAGCTGTCGGAGTCTTGACGTGGCTTAACCTCGGTCCTCGTCCTAGTTGTTCTCGGCTGAGCTCAGGCCGACTGCCGAGAATCGGGGGGGATATGGAAACATGGTTCGAGTTTTCACCGACTTCACATCCACAAACACGCACAAATCTATTTCAGCAGAGGTGTGGAGGTACTAATGGCATTCGTAACGAGAGGTAGGGGCTGTAGTGGTGGTGCCGGTATGTGGGGGCCGTCGTGTCTGGTGACATGGAAGATTCAACTCAGCCCCAGGAGTCCTGGCGAACTGCTTCAAGGACAACATCTCTGTCATCCCGCAGCTCTGTGCTTGCGTATTGCCTCGGAGTCGTGACTCCATGAACAGGAATTCCCCATCTTGAACTCTGTGGATCCGGGCAATGCATGACCGTCTTGCCGAACTGCTGCTTGGACCACCTGCGCAACTGAGCAGGGCAAGCCAAGAAGATGACATGAGCCGGCCAAGCGGCTTATCCGAAGA